AAACGAGGGAGATGCAATCTGCAACTACACCACGAGATGCAACTCAATCCTACACACTGGTCCTTTAAGTACATTTTGCTGATAATACTTTTATTTGACTCACTAATCTATTGATCTAGTTAGTTAGCTATCTAGCTAGCTATTCTATCTTTCTTCATGTACTTTACTTGATTATTTTAATGTTCTGTTACAGATTACTGTTTGGTTTAATACATGAGGAATCATAATGACAATTGCCTATGTTTTCTACGTAAAATCTTAGACTAGTTAGAAATGGCACCACTTCAACCAGTGTAAACAGTGCCCAGCCAAGAAATAGTCACATCATCCCATATAAACTCTATCTATCTATCTATCTATCTATCTATCTATCTATCTATCTATCTATCTATCTATCTATCTATCTATCTATCTGCAGAGAAAAGATTGTGAGTCATGAGTGAGCAACCACCAGGAAACATGACAAATAGATGTTAGATCCCCTCTCACGTACACACACACACACACACACACACACACACACACACACACACACACACACACACACACACACACACACACACCACCTGACTGGAAAAGTCTGCAGAGAGTTTCTCGACACCTTTGTGTAAAGAAGAACTCGTTATTATAGAGGACTAATTAGCATTATCCATGCCTGTGTCAAAAGTCCACCCACAGCCTTATCTAGACAGGTTAAAGAACATAGGGCTGTGTTTGTGAAATCATATTTCACGTCAAAACGAGTGGCTGACATTTTCCAATCAATTCTTCATGTGTAACAGTGTTGCAACAGGGCAGCAGCTAGAGCGTAAAAAGAAACATACAGACTGTGGTTAATTATTATACATCGTCTAGAATCAAGTCCTTTCTTTGATAAATAAATATGTAACCACTCAAACAAAAAGACAGTTGATAAAAGTTTCTTTTATGTGATATCACTCCTTCCAAAAATGGATGATTACAGCAGTGCATCTTCCCACAGGTGATGCCTCATGACACGATGCTGATCTCCCATAAGGTAAGATATCAAAAGAGAACCATAAATACAATCATTAGCCCGGTGTCAATTGGACCTCTGATTACAACATAAGGACATACAGCGGAGGTGTGTGTATGTGTGTGTGTGTATGTGTGTGTGTGTGTGTGGGGGGGTTACGAGCTTGATTGAAAGAGTGTGGGCTGAGAATGTCATAACCTTGCACACATAGGATGGGTGGAGACTCCAGACATTGTGGAGACAGAGGTTATAAACTTTGGAAAGACATTTCTCACAAAACAGCATTGTTAGTCCACTTTTATAGCATATTTCATAACATCGCTCTGAAAAAACCTACAACCATACAACAAGTGTTGTTTACATGGTTGAATATACGAGATGGTGTGCTTGAGGGTTGATATTTATAGCATGTGCATTGCAAGTGACGAGGAACTGACTGTAGTAGTGTAAAATACATTTTCAAACAGGCTTTAACAGTTTGTGCTGATTTAAGACGTCAGATTTTTTAAATATTTTAGTTAAGTAGTTGACCTAATTGCCACTTCACATTGGGATAATAAATAACCTTTATCAAGGCTACAAGTAGAAACATGTTACAGTACAAGTGTTTTGACTTTTTATAGTGAATGTAAAAGGCACCTCGAAGGTATGTGAAGCTGAGTCAGTTGTCCCACTCATCACAAGGCAACAAAAATCTCTATCTATAAAACTATACAGAAAATATTCTTCGGAACAAAATATTTTTCTCACAGTAAAAGACAAAAATAATAACTGATTTCACTTGTTCTTGGAGCAGCTTTTTTAGTTTGAGGAAGACAAGAACACACACACACATACACACACACACACACACACACACACACAAAAAACATGTACACATACATTACAGTCATTTCCTAAATCAGTTTATTTTCAAATCAGTAACATACTCAAACACTGTACTGAAGTAATTTTGAGGTACCGTTTTACTTTTATATTACGTAATACAAAATAGAATCACCTAATAAATTATGATGAAATATGATAGATAAAGTTACCCAGCAGTAAAGCTGTTGCAAGCCCCAACTTTACCAGCTGCAACATAATCAAACATCTGTAGTTCCAATAATATAATATATGATTCTGAAATGGGATATTCTGCATATCAAGAACTTTTACTTTTGGTACTTTGAGTATATTTTGATGCAGGAGTTTTACCAAGTATTTTTACACTATAGTATTGAAAATCTGAGTACTTCTCCAGCCCCTGTTTATTTGTATTGGGTACAGGTGACAAAACGTGTATTTATTTTGCAGTTCATCTTTCTGACTGTTGCTTTCTTTGTCTCCATTGAGGTCAGCAGCTGCTTTATTGGCAGGACGCAGAAATGCAAAGGCAGGAGGTGACAAAGTAAATTCCGCTCACTGCAGACTATAACAATCAAATGAGAACTAATTACCTATTTACAATGTTAGCCAGTATCGCTGCCCATTTTCTCTGTGACACTCAATCTGTCTGTCTTTCCACTGATCAGGCCTCCTGCTGTGTTTGTCCACCCCTGGGAGCTGTCAGTGGTTGTGTGAGCCCTGAAGACGAGCTGCAGCTCAGCGCTTAGTCTGACTGATCTTTTGTATTGTGCAACTTCTCCACAGGTCTCTCTGATCTGTAGAAATCATTATAAGTTTTACCTTAAGGCATGGGAGAGAACAGAGCTTTTTGAGACCTGCTTGATTCTCCCTCACTTCTCTCACACGCACATTACACACACACACACACACACACACACACACACACACACACACACACACACACATGCTCCACCACCCACAGTCAGAGGCAGAAATAATATTTTCATTGAAAGCTTCTTCAGCTCTGCAGATGGGATAACAGGCCACTACTTTTGCCAAACCGCTTCTTTCTGGAGGCTGCTGTTTAAGTTAGCCCCAGCTTTAGAAGGTCAGCCAGTCAGTCTGTTATGGAGCGTATAATCAAATAATTCAATTATACAGTCTCACTTTAGTGCTCGAACCAATTATAATCCATTTATCTTCAGTGGATGATCAATAAGCTGATGTTCAGACTGACTTTAACGTGTCTGAGAGAATTGTGCTTTGCTGCCCTCTACTGCTTTTGTCTCACATTACATCTACATTTCAATGTATTGTTAATATGTAACAGCAATCTGTACAGCCCTTTCTCTGTGGTTACAGTATGGAGCCAACAGTTACAACATTATTGCTCTCACTAATGGCTTTCACTATCGTAATAATTTCTCTATGATGATGAGTTTGTGTGAAATACTTCTGAAATACAAATGAAACTCCTTAAGAGCCTTAAACTGGGTTTGGGTGAGTAAGTGAAATGCATCTTAAAGGTGCAGCGAGCTCTTACAAAACATTTCCCTCCAGTGATAAAACAGAAGAGAAAATTAGTACTGTAGCCTATATTTGTAGTCTATAGTGGTTATTTTTACTTATGCTGCTGGTTTTGTTATGTGTTATTTTTACTTATGCTGCTGGTTTTGTTATGTGTGTTCTTAATGTGTTGTTAATCTGTGCAGTTATTTTATTGTGGAACTTCATTCCAAAACACATTTCCCCAAGCAATATTGAAATATTTCACTTTATAACTGTATGTTTTCTGCAAGCAAACTTGGCTGTGGTTTTAGAAGCTTTGTCACTGTCAGGCATGACAGCTCCTAAATTATGTTTCTGACCTGCTAACCACATTCCAGCCCAACCTGATCCTCTCCTAGGTCTCTGTTAATAATTTGTAGGTCATGACTAAAAACCAGGACTAGGCCTGGTTCTTAATCCTTGTTAAATTACATTATTTCAGAACTGCATTTATTTCAATAATTTTTATTCTGTGCTTTTTTTTTTTGTCAAATTGCACTTTATTTAAATCTTATTTATGATTTATTACACTATGTTTCTTTCTTTTCTATTTTTTTCTATTTTTAATTTAACATGTTTTAGAAAAAGTGGAAAAACAGTAGTCCATTGCTTTCCTCTCCCTTGCTGTCTACAAATGGTCTTATGTAGGGATGGTGGTCTTCATTTTGAATCCAGTCCAGGACCAATTTGTCATGTCACTTCGCCTCTTCACTCGTCTTGTCAGTCCAATCAATACTTGACCTGAAATTTTGCTGTGGTGGGTTTAAGAGCTTATACCACTCTGTAACCTCCTCTGAGCATTGTATGCACAACTTCATGTCAGATTTTGTCACCTTCTCTGCAGGGCAAAGCAGGAAGGGGGAAATTGCCTGAGTCCGCTCAAATATGTTTGAAAGCCTGAGTGCTGATAGTGAATGCTGAATTTATTTTTATTAAATACTGGCTTGTTCAATTATACCAAAACCTTTCTAAAAGCACATGGTGAATTTTGAATGACTTTTCAGAGTCCTTCGGTTTTTTTTGTAGGAAAACAGCAATATTTAATTTCTCACATGACTGATTACCAAGGCTGAACTGGATTATGACATTTTTTTAATTATTTTTTTTGTCTTATCTCATTTCCAGCACTCTTCCTTAACTATTCTATTGACTTGTCATATAATTTAAATTAAGGATTTTAGTAAAAACTTATGCTATATAACATTAAAACCAAACCATTGGTGGTATGTGTCAGGCCAATCTGTGATTTTTTAAAATGTCATTATTTAGATAAGTCTCTCTGTGTACTGTATGTAATTCAATATATACCAGCCATGATTGCACCCATGTGGTTTTCCCAAGCTGTTTCTCCATGCAAAGCAAGTCCAACACATGAAATTATTTCCATAATCACAATTCACCTCTGAACAGGGCAGGGGCAACCAAACCAGGAACATTTATTAGATACTGTGTGTGCAAAATGGTGGCAAATCTACAGAGCGTTAAGTAGTGAGTGTTAGCAGCTGAAATGTTGAAGATTTACACATAACTTTTTCTTAATTTTTGGACGCACACTTCACAACAACACCAGTCCTTGGCAGAGAGAATAGGACCTGGAGTTAGTGCACAAGTGACAGAGGGAGCCATACACAGCAGAGTTAGTCCTTTATAATTGAGTTTACAGGTCAAACAAGACCATAGCAACAAATACTCAGTGTAGCAGGTTGGGCTCCTTAAGTGTTGAATGCAAAATCTCAGAGGCCTGAAAAATCGTAAAACTGCTTTGCACATTAAACAACAAACAATCTTTACAGTACAGAGGCCTCCAGCACATAATGATACAAACAGACCCACATTTAAAACATTTACTGTGATTGCTTGGTTTGGGCAACTTTTTGCCTACACACACACACACACACACACACACACACACACACACACACACACACACACACACACAGTAGTTTTGCGTTTTGTTAAATGAATGAAGTTAAATGTTGTCCAATAAGGGGCTGGGGGTCAGAAAGAGGCAAGGGTAGTATGAAGGGGTTTTATATCATATTTCAGCCTTCCCTTGTGAGACTTATCATACATATAGTTGGATCAATGGATCGAAGGTATGCAGATGTGAAAATATGTCAATACTGTTGTTTTAGTTTAAGATTTTCAGGAGCATGGTGTTGTAGTTTTTTCAGCAAGTCAACTCTGGTGAGGTTCTTGCTTTTTAGAAAAACATAAAGCCCTCTTTCACACCCCAGTGATTTTGGTGCAGTCCTTAATTACAAAAACAGGAGTGCAGTTGGTTCTAGGTTACCACTCTAATCTGACAAGTTTAATAATGAATACTCAAATGTTCCACAAAACTTGTATTTTAGCTGCAAGTGTATCTTTGCTGAATTGAAAGCTAATGTGGAGAGATTATGTATTGCAAAGACACTTATTCTAACCACAGAGGATTAGTAAAGACAAGCTCTGCACTCAAATCACGTAAAGTACCATGATGCACATTTGACCCTGAATCTGTGCCTTCCTCATGATTTCCAATCATTTGCTACAAAGTAAAAAGCTTCTCCAAATCTTCGATGGGGCACCCACATGTGGATAGTTTTAATGAAGACACATTTACATGACAACCTTGTACAACTCATCACCACACACATTTTAGAAAGTTATTTGGTCCAGCATACACCAGTTATTTTACACACATTATTCCACCCAACGTTAACATTACATGCACATACACTTGCACATCCTTCTGGTCCGTCTGTGAAACCAGATAACACTTTAGCCCACAGTACTCGACATCCTGCAGCCACCATTACGAGATTCGTAAGTGAAATCGTTCTACCACTACCACAAGTTTGCATTTGGTGCCTGGTAACATTAATATTTCTGACATTTTATCCAGAAAACCGTGAACATCTGGTGTTTTTAGTGGTACAACCTCTGCATTATATTATCCTGGTGTTCACTATTTGGTTGCTGAGCTCTCAACAACAACAACAAATCTAATTCTACTATTACTTGTACAGTGGTTTGATAGCACCTGATACGGTTATAGGAGTCCATTTAGTGTATGTATATTATTTCAGTAAGTGAATATATTATACAGCAGTTAGTTATGAAGCCCTGAGGTCAGCCATTTTTATTCTTCATCACATCCACGGCTAGTCTCTTAAATATCTTTACTCACTCTTATGACAACTGTCTTGCTCACCGGATATAAACACAGACATCTGTGAAGCACTGTACAGAGATGGCACACTTGCACATACAGCACACCACATACATGGACATCATCCTATACACCACTGTGTTTCATTACCACTAAACAACTGACAGTGAGGATGATTTATTTCATGGCATCTTTTTGCAACAAGTTTTTTGACAAGCGATTTAGGGATCATCATTTGTCCGCCGAATTTGATGAAGGCTATTTCTGTCTTAGCAGTTGCACAGTATCTTGCTCCTTCCCATCTGCCTTTGTTTACTCTCATTTGCACATGAAATACATCAGACATCTCTGTTATTTGTAAAAAGTAGAAAATGGAGAGAAAAAAGACCCATTAAAGTGACACATCTCTCATGGCGGATATTTTCTGTTTTAATATTGGTGGTTACAATTTGTTTTTTAAGGCTATATTTGGCGATGGGATGTTAAGCTTTCTGCCTTTAGTGAGGCTCACCCATGCCTCTTTCCTCTAACACACAAAACAGGTTCCTACATAGTAGTTTACCCATGTAAACAAAAGCAAAACTAACATCCATCACTGGGATCTGCTCTCATCATTTCTATGAACAGGTAAAATTACTTGTTGTACAAGAAGTTTTACTTGGACCTATTAATGTTTTTGAAATGTGTTAAAAACTCATATTAAAGAATGTAGTGCTGACTCCAGTGGTGTCACTTGTGTGAAAATGTGAAATATTACTTGAGGTGAGTCATTACAGCAATGAGACAAGGGCATAGGGCTGCATAAAACATTTTCAGCATCTACAACTCTACTGCGGAGGTGATAGTTTTATTTCTAGTCTATTAATCACACCATGCAGGACAGGATTTTACCATATTCATTTTGTTAGAAAGTAAAACCTAGTCTTTTCTAGTCATTCACATCAACTCCAATACATTATATCAACAACACTAAACCACTGCAATGAGAGGAAGAAATCAGCTGGACAAGGCACTAAATCTGATTCATGACTGATCAATAGAGCCGACTGGACAGAATAACTGTAAGAGATTGTTTTGCCTTGAAAATCACTTCAGAGATCTACCTGAGAATTTAAAATGAAACCATGTTTTTGATCTATATGGGCTAAAAAGCAACCCTCCTCCGAACTAAATGAACAAAAGGATCTTCTGCCCTTCCCTTCTGATAGATGATAAAAAGGAGACGACATGAAGCTGCTCAGCTCTGTCTGCAGTTGGGGTGATAACAATATTACCATATGGGCAGGAAAACTTCAAATACTACCCCCTTTTCCTCTCTCTCTCTCTCTCTCTCACTCATATATAATTTGTTGCCAAGTAACCGTGGCCTTGCAGAGTCCCCGGTGCATAATTTCTTCTCATTTGTGGTCTGAGCTGAGCGATGCAAGAACTACAGAAAATCCACTGTGGATGCCACACACACACATCCTTGGCATGTGCCATCTAAAGGTGTGTGTGTGTGGGACACCTGCTTCAGTCCACGATCAGCTGCAGATTAAATGCCCATTTATAAATGCACCATCACAGAGGCTCATTTCACTCTTACTATACACGTGTGACACGCTGTAGAGGAACAATTCACACAGAGATACTATTGACAGTTATATGTCCTTCACCATTCTGTGATGCAGTCCATTTTTTAGGGATTTTCTTTTTCTGGTGTATTCACCCTCCCTCAACCTGCCTCATCTATTTCTGCTTTGGTTAGTGATGATTGCTTGCATGCCCCTTACTCAGACTACAACATGCCTTGTGGGTACACACGCATGCGTTAAGGCCTTTTGAGGTCAGTCTCGGTAAGGAAATTGGTTTCTCTGCCCTTTATATGATGGATTTTTCTCCCTGTATGATGTAAATTGGAGGCTTGTTTGTTTGCTTTTTTATTCCAGGACTGTCACAAATTCTTTTCTAAATGATATTTTAGGAAGATTCATATATCAAATATCACTAAAGTTAACAATTATTCAGTTAATGGGATAAGAACAAATACATTACACAAGAATAGCAGGGTCCCATATCAAGAAGTTTTGTCAACCTAACACCAGGTTAAAACTTTGTATTTTCTGACCTACAGAGGGTTAACCTTGCTGCAGTGATGTAGAAGTGTACACCACGGTGTCTTATTACAATTTCAACCAGAGAGGGTATTAAGTTACTCTTTTTTAAGAGTTTTTAGTCGCATGGATTTTTTCCTTAATCACCAATATAGGACATATGCAGTCTAACAGGCAGGGTGGGTTTCAAAAACGGCAACAGCTGGACTTCATCCCAATCAATGCTAATGCTAATCCTAACATTACCATTGTTACTTCAAGGTGAACAGTGCTTAGACACACATAACGACAATATTCAGTGGTTCACACACACAGGGTCAACAATGACAACAACAATGCTTTGGATTAGTGAAAAAGTTAAAAAAATCACAATCTTGAGTCTCAGTGACAGAGTGATTATGGACATACACTCACAGTAATTTGTAAACAAAATATACACATACATACTGTACCTTGTACTCTAAATCTACAGTGAAAATCTTTTTGTTTTGGTTATAGTCATTGATTTTCAGTCTTAATTCATTGCCGTTTTTTTATACAGTCCATTTCATTTATCATACGTATATTTACAGAACTTCATATTTTCCATATTTTTCTGAGAGTGGTGTTTACTATCATTGGGGTGAAAACTAAAATGATCTAATCTAATAAACATGTTTCTTACTTTACAACTCTCCTCAAAGTGCAAGACTATGATGGGGTAAAGTGCATGAGTCCTGCCAGCGAATCACTCGTCAACTCTGCTCTACCGGTGCAAAGACTGTCATCTTATTGTAATATGTATTGACACATCAAACCATGCTGATTGAGCAAGCACACATCAAAACCTTTCACTTAAAATCTTGGTAACATGATTCCAGCGTGACAATAACATGTTGACTGCATGACAAGGCAAAGCAAAGAGGACTGAAGAGTCCTCATTGAAGCTACAGACAGCAGTGTGGTATACGGTCTGGAGACAGTAAGTGTATTTTAATCAGATAAACGCTCGCCTCTCCACTCACACTTCTACATGAGACTGCAGGTCGAAATCAGTTACTTGGCAAGAAATGTGCCACTGGAAGAAAGCAACATTCACATTAGGAGTCCAAATTGTATCCATGCTTTTGTTTCAGATGAGAAGGTATTGCATTAAACTGATTTTTCATGTATAATAAGCAGTCACCCAGGTATTCTTACTTGCAAATGTTCTCAGAAATAGTAACTATCAAGTTATAAAATCATGTGTCACTTTTTATTTGATCAAATAATTTCTCAGCTAACTAATGTTGGCTGACTTGTGGAGTTCTTGATGAGATTTGTGCACCAAACTGAGAAAGCAAGTCACAGCCCCCAAAGCCTTTTATCTACATTAAGATTTATTGCAACATTTGGTTTTCTGGAATATAGTAAGCCACCAGTGAGTCAGTTTTTACTTCCTGGACTTAAATCTTGCCAAGCAATATTATCTAAACCCCTGCCCACTGGCCAAGATTGTACTCGTTGCTTGGCAACACTGGCTTAGTGAAAATTAAATCAAGGGCATTTTGAACGTGTTCTGCACTGCAAAGCCAAAGTACAGTTAACTACATGAGCAATAAAAAGAGAAATTCAGATGAGTTTAACTGCCATTAAAAGTGTTGTTGGTACAAAAGTAGGCTGTAGATTTGATGGTATTTGTTGAAAGTAGTGGGTTAGTAGACCCCAAAAACTCTCTTTCTCAATCCTTACTATGAGCAATGTACTCCTACATGAACATCTGCCCAACACAACAGCCAAAGTTGGAAAAGTTGGAACAGATACAGTTTTTATATAAGATACGGCTTTTGTCTGTGCTCTTCTCACTGGTTTGAAGTGGGAGGGGGTCACATGTTTTTGTGTACCAATCAAGTGTTAGTCATGAATATTAACCGTTTGTAACCAATATTTAAAGTTTGGAGGGGATTTAAGACGTCCAAAAACAAGCTGTTATTCTTTTTTGGGATTATTTGGAGTGGTAGGCCGTGAATTGGTAGCACACTGCTGGGTGTGGCTTTATGTCACCTGGCAACGTTCCTCTAGCGAGTACAGTATGCAGCAACACGACGCATCTGGGTCACAATAGCCGTACATTTACATCCTCAAGCTCAACGTCGCGCACACACATGGCAGTTCCACTTGCTAAATACATACACACACACGCACAAAAAAAAAGTTTCAAAACCCACCTGGAGCAGAAATCATTTTCACACTGAACAAGAGAACGTCACAATTCAGATTCTTTTATGCATGCAGCGTGTGAACGCACCATAGTCCTGGTTTACTAAGCTTTGTTACAGGGTCAGAGGTGTTTTTTGCAGAGTGTAAATATCAAGCTTGTGTAGCCTTTAAGCCTGACGAGTACAATGTTTGAACACTAACACGGGAGATTCAGGCTCATATCAATAATTTGACTCCTTGTTAAGAGTTAAAACTTGAAGCTGACATCATTTAAGGGTGAATTTGTCCCGGTTTCATTAGTACCACCTTTATCTCTGCTTGTGAAATAGCTCCTGCTAACAAATCCTTAGTGAATTTGTGTGGTTTTAAAGTTACAGGCATGTGAACTGTCCCATGGCTCATGATTCTCTACTGTGTTGTGTGCAGTCGTGTGTTAATGAATATTTACAGTACCACAGAAAACAGCTAGAGGAAGAGAGACATAGGCTTGGCACAGCTTCAGTATCATCACATAGACACAGACTGCAGAGTCTGTACAACTGTAATACAAATGTATGTGGGGGATTGTGTGTGTGTGTGTGTGTGTGTGTGTGAGTGTGTTTGTGTTTTTGTTGTGCACTCCTGCTGTCCTCCTCCTCCTCCTCACTGTGTGGGGGAGCAGTCGTCTAAATCCAGCAGCTCTCTGACCAGTCTTTCTCCAAACTGCGCTCGGCTGTAGCGTTTAACCGTGTAGGCGTCAGACATCTTGTAGAGGATGTACGCGTTATTGATGGCGATGCTGATGCTCAACCAGAACACCTGCTGCCAGGTCTTGTTGGGCTTATGGAAGATAAAGTACCTGTGGGAGAAAAATAGCTACTTACTCCAGGGCTTCTCTACAAAAACCTTCTGATGAATGAATGAATAAAGTTAACACTCCACCATAAATAACAGGCTTTTAAGTGGGACTGTGTAACGTTTTCTGAACACCTGGAAAATGGCACATAACTTCACTTCCTTTCCTTAACTGTTAGTAAGAGTTAGTTGCATTAGGCTGTAATGGGTTCACAAACAGGAAACAAGTTAGAAGAGTTATTAAGTCAGCAACTGACTAGTTAGCATCTGAGCAAAATTTGCTGACATTAAAGGACCAGTATGTAGGATTTAGTGGCCTAAAGTAAGGGTGTATTTCATTGTTTATGGATGAAGAAAGAGTGCACATTTCTTATTTCAAACGTTACACAGCCTCACTTTAAGGGCAGAATATGTCATGTTATGTCTAAAACATGAACCACTGCAAGAAATTGTAAAATGTGGTACGTACTTGCTGTACTTGTCATCGTATTTGCAGATGTAGCTGAGGTGTGCCGCAAAGGCCTCAACAGCCAAGGGACATGGGATCTCCCCACTTTTCCTCTTAATGATCATACCTGCCACAGACACACACCACAAACTAAGAGTGAGAGACATACAGGAGAGAAACGAGATCCCACTGTAGGGACTCTGTGGTCACCTGGCCAACAGCAAGAGAGACAAGGGAGAGGAAAAGAAGCGCTCCTTTACATGAGGGAGGCTGCCTAGGTGCAACTTTTTACTATTTTGGTTTATAGCTGGTCTCTTTCTTGGATCCGTGGAGGGCTGCTTTGTTTAATGGGCCTTTTTTACAGCAGACATTCAGTCACAGCAGGAGTTGTAACTACTAACACTAACAATGGCTCCGTTCCATTTATGTCCTAGTAAGCCATGACAGTGAACCAACATGCACAATATCAGGGTCCTTAAAACTGGTACATGGAAATGGAAATTCAGACATGATCAATTATCAAACATGTTGAATGCTTCACTTTCTGGACTGTCATTGGTTTTTGCTTCAGATTTTTAACCTTTTCTGGGACACTTTAATTTCTTCATGACTATCTGGATTTCCTGAGTTGTTTTAGGGTAGGAAATACACCATGCAGTTACAGAATTATGCTTCATTTATATCTACAACTTGTGACAATGGCCAGACTCCAGGTATCATATAGACACTTGCTGATTGGTCTGTATGGATCTGATCAGGCTAAAGATGTTGTTTTCAGGCTTGAATTTTGTACGAGTGTTAATCACAGATTATATTAACACTAATGCAATGGTTAATGGAGGAGATAAAAATGAAATTAAAACATCTCCATAATAATGTAGGAGTCGCTGTTATACCCCGTTATTTATACACGTAATTAATCAGATTTATCAGTTATCAGCTTTTTTCAGTTACTACTGAGTAAATTATATAATATTACCCAGACAAAAGTAACTAATCTTGCTATTGTTTTATTTTATTTATTTTATTACATGTTGAGGTTATTGATGGGGTTGGCAGCTAATTTAATTCTCCTTTTTGTACAGAGTGAAAAAGGGCACACACACATACCCATGTACACACAGAGGGAAAAGAAAATGAATATTGGATAATAACAGTTTAACTGATCTGGGGCTTTGCTCCCACTCTCTTCATTCAAAGAGCTCAAACACACTGCTGCCCTTCAACTCGGTTTAAAACCTAACAAAACGGTTTAATCGAGAGTGGATTACGCTGTAAGAGGAGGGGAATATCATGATCCTGTCGCCTCCTGGAAATGGATTATCATGGATTACGAGCTCTCATTGATTTTGCCTGACACAAATGCTTAATGATGGTAACTTGCATCCAGACACGACAGTACGGCTAATCTTATTTTCACTGAAAAACTGTCAGGTTAATGGCAACCAAAAATAGTTCCAAATATTACGGCACATTAGTGGTGGGTTTGAGCTCTGGGTGCATCTGAGCACCGTTTACCTTGTTTTGTTGGGGAATAAGCGTTGGTGAGGAACCTGAAGTGTCCCTTGTTGTACCAGCTGATCAGTGACATGCTGCCTTTCATCATTACTCGTGACTGGCCGCGCTGCGCCGGCGTGGAGCCGCAGACCAGCATGTTTTGTGGTAAGCCTGTACAGTCGCTCTTCCTGGTGCTCAGCAGACCACAACAGTAGATATCTGCAGAAGCAGAAATACAACCATATTAACATTTGTATAAATAACATACACAGTGTACTGCAGTTTGTAAGTCTTCTATGATATTAAACTAAATATTTTAGCTTTTCGCACTTTTGGTCGGACATAAGAAGACATTTGAATATGACAGCGAGGTGGTTTGTGATATTTTATTGATCAACCCATTAATAAGATAAGATAAGCTAAGAAAAGATAGACTCTATTGATCCCACTCTGCAGAAATTCGCTCCCTACAGCACAACAGACAAGAGAGAATAGAAGAATAAGAGTTATATGTACACTACGGCTTTTTATATGCAGATGTGATTGATAAGGAACATTGCACAGGTCACAGCAGGACGTAGTGGCATGGTGTAAAAATCCATTAATTAAGTTTAATCAAAGAAATGAAATGAAGATAATTCTTAGCTGCTACCTTACTAACATAATTGATATAAAGTTTTTATCTAGAGCTGAAACAATTAGTCGATTATTGATTATGTGATCGACAGAAAGTCCCTGGTTCCAGCTTTTCAAATATGAGGAGGTGGTAGTAGTTCTGGAGTAGTTTTCGGACAATTTATAGAAAAAATTATTAATCAAAAAAGTAATTGTTGAGTGCAGCCTTAGTTTTATCCACCCCTTCAGTAACTACTGTAAATTTATTGCGCATTTCATGCATTCTGCTTTCTGATGTGAACTCACAGAACAAACTACTGTCATGTTGATCTCTCCCACAGCTGTACCACTTCTTCTCTTCTTCATATGCCATCTCTGTCTTTCACTTTTTGCTTGTCTTTCCACCCATTTAATTTCTTTATTTCTTACATGGATGAGCAGCGGTGAAACAATCATGTGGCTGACTGCTGCTGATTTAATGTTCTCAATTTGGACAATGATCTCTATCAGTGTAGTTCATGTGTGTGTGTCCACAGTGAGTTCCGCAGAGTAGCGCAGGGTAATTAACTCTGTTAATTAATCCAGCATGATAAATTTGAACGTAAAATGCCAGACAATGCCTTCACAAGCTCAGAACAGATTTTTTTCCCCGGCTGAATGTCTCATGGTAGTTTCACCCAATTAGTATGACAAAATATTGATTGTATCTCCAGACTTGTTTTTCTTTACTTGGCGTATTGCAGCTATGCCCGGTTGAGTTTAAAATTGCTCTACTGTTATTGTTTAGTGAAAGAACACTTGTGATAACAGGAGTGTAAAAACTTTTCAATTTCCAAGTTGTGCTGATGATATCGTCAAAGGAGCCTGATCTGTTTTGCTGAATATTTGTTCTTTGCATTCACTGACTCACTCATTTCAGCCTTTTATGTCATGATGACATTGTCCCACATCTGTTATTAAAATGGAAGAAGAGGTTGTTGAAAAGAATTCAAATGTGACTCACCCCACCACAATAGAATTGTGCTCTTATAATAAAAGATGCCTTAGGTATAATGAGCATGAAAATCAGAGTTCTGTGGAAACCAGCTTCAGAGATGGATTATCAGGATAAAATACCACAATTTCCTCCAAAATAATTTTTCTGCTTATCTTTTGCAACACCTTCTGATAAAATATTACATACTGAGTGTTTGTAAGCCATTAACAGCAAGAGATTGGATTGATAATTTCTAGTCAGATGTTAAGCGGTGTTTTACTTAAGTGTCCACTTTACTTATTGATTTTTTGAGTTGTGACAAGGCAAAACACTCTCAGCTGGATCTTCCATGATTTATTGTCAGTCTACTGTGGTGCAACCGGCGCAGTTACGGTTGATGTTGGTTAACGAGCAAAAAAACATCCATCTTAAAAAGTCCCTCATTGTAAGATTAACAAAAGATTCAGTAAAAATTTAGTGATGTAATTCCACTTCTTTTTAGTGCAATTTGACCTTGTTTCAGGAATTTTCTTATTTATGAATGTGAATATTTGGAAACCTGACAGAAAAAGTCAGCTTTATGCATTAGTATACAATTACACATCTATACCAATCCCAAAACACACGATTTTAGGGAATTGCACATAGAGAAAAGCTTTTTTTCTTTAATACATTTTATCTTGTTTTTAGAAACGTTTAAGTTCTTAGTTGTGAAAAAAGGCAAGTAGGATATTAATACATGTCAGACAAATGAAAGTACAGTCTACCGGCCTATGTTTTCATTGACAGACGCATGCTTTTGCTTTTACATATTCCCATACTGCATACTGTTGTGTCTCATTTGAAGGTGAAATACAACAGACTGCCTTTCTCTGTGCTACTTAGCCTGGGGTGCTATCACCACACCATGATTAAAAATAAATAAACAAAAAATGCAAATAGGGAGAGAGATTAGATGAGTGGAGAGAGAGATTACAATCTGTACATCAAAGCAGAAAATGAGAAAGGAGGGAGACGATAAGAGAAGACGAAGATGGAGGCTAGAGAAGAATAAGAAAAAAGGTGTTTTATTTAGGTAGCATGGCTGAGACCAATATATAGTATCTGCTGTTGCAACCTGTTTGTGTACCTTGTTTGCTGAATTCAGAGAAGAGGCTGAGGCTTGTGATGGATGGCCCAGTAAAGATGATGGTGTTCTTGCCAGAGATGTTCTGGCAGAGCTGCTTGGCCACGAGACTGTGGAGCTGAGGCTTGTTCTTCAAGGTGGCCAGACCGTCTGTACCCTGGCCCTCCTTCAGATGGACTGAGATCTGCATAGTGGGAACAAAGAGACGGGACATGTGGATAAAACAGATAGAGAACTACCAAGCTTTATTCCAGTTTTCCATAAAGTACCATTTAGGTGTCCTACTATATAAGTCTATAGTCTAAACCTTCTAGAGGCTGCAATGTTCATTTTCAGGTGCGCACTACATTTATTCTTTCCCTCTTGTATTATCTTCCATATGTTTGTATTTATATGTTCCCTATGTATGTATATGATTGTTTGAACAAATTTCTTTGTATACATGCACATATATATGAGCATATGTGTGTGTTTATATTTATTTGTTGGTTTGTGAGGCACTTTGTAACTCTGTGTTTTAAAAAGTACTATATAAATAAAGCTTTACTTATTTATTTTACAAAATTGTGAGATGGAGCAAACATGGCGATGATTTCCCTTTACCAATAGAGACTTAAAAAGTTTGTCCTGAGGTGGCACTAGAGAAAAGGCCATGAAGTTGCTGGGATCAAAATCTACTTGGACTCATGAGAGATTTCATAGTGACATTTTGGGGCCTCCTAGTGGCTTGAATGAAAGTCCCGGAATTTTTCTACCTGGCATATGCCCTATGAATTATTATATTATATGTCCTATTATTAATTGTGACTATGGGTTATGCTAACTTTGATTTACCATTGTAGAGATTTGGGTAAATGAGGACTCAGCCTGCAAGTTGACCCGGTTGTAGATCCCTATGCATTTAGCTATAATGGCCAATGTAGAAGGACTTTTGTTTGAAACGATCAATGTAAAAATCATGTTTATTAGGAAAGCTTAAGGAAGCTCACACAGATTCCCCTGATGTGTTGTTTCTATAGAATCACTATAGCCACATTTACAGGATGTTGCTTTAAGGCACCAACCATGAACTGTAACGTCCCCTGTTTGAGTCCTGAACGGGACTTCTGATGCATGTCATTCACTCTCTCTGTCGCCCCTCATCTCTTTACTGGTGATGCTCTCATAAAGGCAAAAAATACAGTAAAAAAATACATCTTAGCCTGATGCTGTTGGAAGAAGTAAGCTCATGAAGTCTCCAAAATTAAAAGTTAAGAGTTCATCCTCCCAGAATATCTGTGATCAAACTTTTAGGTGATCAAAGAAATGTTTTAAGAGCACCCACTGGGGGCCATACATATTCACAGCAAATTTCATGATGATCTGGCCAGTTGTTGAGAAATGTAGCTCTGGATCAAGGCAGACTGACCTGTGCTTCTTAGCAGAACACACTGGTACATGGTGCCCTTGAAGTCTAAAAGAAATATGAAGAGGAGCTTGGCTTCTAAAGGAAACCATTATTGAATGTAGAAATGTACATTCACAAACAGTCCTGTGTCCTTCTTGTACTTACATTTCTGTTGTTCCCGAGCAGAACGGTATTAGTCTGATTAGCAAGCATCTAAGTCAGGCCTTTAGCTATTACACTAAGTGGTCAGTCCATGCCTCTGTGTGTGTGTGTGTTTGTGGATCCCTGTGTGATGCGCAGCCTAATGGAATCTCATTGATTCACTCCATTAACTTGTTTTATTTCTTAGTTTTTTTTTCTCTCCTTCGACACAATTCATTTAGAGAGAGAAGATCTCAGCGCAGACACACATCAGTGTACAGAGGACTGGTAAAGACTGAGTGCCTGCCAAATGGCCACAGTCAGTGTGAATGATAATGCTTATTTGTTAAATGGATAGGATAATGGAATATGGCTTTAAATGACAGAGCCTGTGATGCTTCTTACGCACAACTCGCTTTAGGGGGCAAAATGATGAATACTTAGATTTAATAGTTATTTTATTTGATAGAAACCAAAAACAAAGAAAGCAGGCAAATTAAAATTCTGATCGCGGTAGGTTCCCTCTCCACTAATGTAATTCTGGACTACATCCAGGCTAAAGAAGGAAACATTTCCCCTGCAGTATAATTGTATGCCAGAGATCTATCTATTTAAGGGTTCTTTGCAGTGAAAAGCCCTTTCTTTACAATGTTGTCTCAGAATTTTCCTTTAAAGCACAGACCACAAACTGCAACGTCTCCAGTTTGAGTCTGGATGGGGACCTTTGATGCACTCTCTGTCTACCATTATGATGCCCTCATAAAGGCATAAAATGACCAAAAAACATAACATAACATAACATAACATAACATAACATAACATAACATAACATAACATAACATGTTTCATCAATCACTTACATTAAAAGCACATGTGTAAGGGATCTTGCAATGGCCACTATGAACACAGGGAATGTAGTTTAATTAAATGAATGACAGTTTTAATGATTTAATGTTTATATGGGAACCAGACAATTGCTCTAAAGACAGACTTAAAAAAATCTATGAAAATAGGTAACAGGGACTGGAAAGTAACTGGAAAGAAATGTTAATGTTGATTTTTCTATGTAACATTTGTTTGTGAGTCCCACATGGACCAACAAAACCAAAAGTATTGTTGAAACAGTCCAGCTGCATAGCTATATACCACTGGAGGTAAATGTGTTATGTCAGTGAAGGTCCTCTTCAGTATAGCAGTGAAAATGTTTGTTTATTTATTATATATTATTTATATATAATATTTCTTTAACAACCTGCATTCTGGAGGGAAATGCAGTTACAGTCTGGTTGGGTATCCAGTCCCACAAATACTGGGTAGTAGTTAAGAGGTTGTCTCAGTCAAAATAAAAGTGGTAACCTCTTGTAGTTGTGGTTTCTAATGTTTGTCCTCTGTTCTCGATAATGGTCAGAGTTGGACAGGTCTGTCAGTCCTGCAGTGCTGGGACCCTGTTAAATGGAGGTGTTACATAAGCAAACGACGTAGGAGTGGAAGGTTGCAGTAAGGTCAAGGTTGTCAACATCAAGAAGAAAAGAAGAAAAATCTGACATGAACCAATATTTCTGCCTAGAAGTTACTTCTCATTTCAAGATGAGTTTGATCATTTCATTTTCTGCATGTAAAGGCCTAAATGTTCATGATGAATTTATGAAAAGTGGTTTTATTCTTTGTAGTGTCGACAAGTAATTGGCTGAATACAAAATGAGGCAACACTGACAACCTGCGAATGAGATTTGAAATTTGGTAAAGATCAAAGTTTCATGAAAGCCTAGGTAGACTGACTTTTTATGATGTAAAATATTACATTTGTGCCATGAAGTTTGAAAGCAAGAAATAAAAAACCCTCACAGCAAACAAACAAACTTGTACTTTATTCCCTCTCTAAACACTTCACACTCTGTGCAGCTAGACATTGACTTTATTCATCGTGGACAGCCTAACCCAAGCCTTTACCCTAAACAGGACCTTACAACTTTAGAGCTCGTCTTTGGTCCTCGTGAGGTCTACTGGTCCAGACAAGGCCCAAAAGGTTACAAATAAACACACACACACACACACACACACACACACACACACACACACACACACACACACACACACAAACTGAGTATTGCGTGCTGCTACCTGACAGATGAATCCTGTGGAGGTGCACTGTCGAACCCAAAGGCTGAACTTCCTCTTCTTCCTCTTCCTCAGCTCTCTTTCCGTACAGGTGGTGATGAACACTGGATCCTCGTCTATCAAGGGCTCATGAAGAACCTGGAAACACACATGAAGTTACTGTACATGTGAGTTTGTCCAGTGGATTTTTATATAACCATGTCACAAGTAAAGTACAAGATGTGTTACTGGAAAAATAGCTGGCCTTAACAAGGGAGAAAAAAAGTTTTTTTGTGTGAGGGATAGGAATGAGGTTGTGTATGATGTAACATTACAGCTAGAGGTTAGAGAGAGATGGCAGCCAATCGAAGATCCTCACAAGTCCTGTATATGTTTGAGTGTGATACTGCAGAGAGAAAAACAGTCATAGTATATATAAATGAGTATTTCTGCAGAAATACATTCTCAACTGTGCAACTGTCTGCAAAGCCCTTCAAAAATACCTTCTCCCTTGTCAGTTTCTCTTTTCTATTGTTTCAGTTGTTACTTTGTCCTTCACTTCTGCATTTATGTTATCCCCTTTTATTTGTCTATTCGTCTAAATATTTTCCCCAACCACTGGAAAACCAAATGCACAAAGTAAATTCAGTACTTTTATGTTATGTGCTTGACTAATTCTAACATCCAACCAATCATCTAAACATCTAAAAAATAATAATACATAAAGCCTGACTGTTAGTGGCAAAAATAGAGAAAAGAGGTGTTTACTCCTTTAGACCTTTTTCAACTTGAGTGTGAATTTTGCCTGATGCAGTAAATTCAGTGGGCCCTGAGGGGAAAGTCTAGAATTTATCAAAACAAATGCTTGTTCTGCTGTCTGCTAAATGTAGTGCAAATTGTTTAAGTATGATGGAAAATATACACATAACATAATAGAGACACAAAGTATCAAGCTATCTTCTTTTTATATGATTCTCCATCTTTAAAACAAGCACGTTTAAGTCATTTTTCAAGCACAAATTACAAAAAACAACTTGTCGCAACTGCTTCTCTTTGTTTTCCATGATAGTAAACTGAATATATTTGCATTTTGGACTGTTGTTCCCAAAGAAGTTACTGCAGACACTTGCTGTTGTGGTCAGTGGAGACATTAAAAAGCATTGAATGTTGGCATGGTAATTTTTCCATCAAATTGATGAACATAACGCAAGACATGTCAAAGTACATTTCAGAAGTAGGTTGAATTGTGCCATTTTCCTCTCGTCTCTAAACAGTTAGGATGGATCAGAGCAGATACTGAGGACGGAATTTTTCAATGTGGATTAAAGACAGTATTTAAAAACTGGCACACATCCAAACACACACAAACGGGCATTAACAGAACACAAATGTTTTCTAACCCTGTCTTAGACGATTACACAAAACACCTAAAACCTGGCCAAATATTTCCCAGAGAGACTTTCAACCACACAACAAATATTTGCATTTCAAATTTCTCTCTCCCTTCCTCCGGTGTCTTCCCTGCCTCCTCCTCCCGCTCCACTATGATTTGACTAAAGATGAAGTGAACAGTGACCAACAGCTCTCTACAGCTCTAGAACCGAGAGCAACAAGTTATTTCCAAGTCAAATATGAGAGTTATGTATTAAACAAGTGGAAAATTAATGAGGCTATCTAGCCTTTGGATGGATGACATCAACCAAACCACAATGGCCTTTTAAGGTTTATCTCATCTCGTAGCAGCTACATTAGCACAGTGGTAGCTACTGTACCACGATGCTCTTGGTAACCACATATTTCTCTATGCCTTATTCCAACAGCTGATAGCAAGGTGGTTACATTTGTACATGAATGCTTCAGTAAATCCCTTGCTTGGATACCCTTATTGTATATTGGACAAAGGAAGAAAGAAAAATCCATCTATCCACTCATTTGCTGTCTGCAGTGGATGTTCTGTGACGACTGTTATAAATTCTCTTAAAGATTTTACACTTGCGAATCAATACAAAAGCAGTGTCAACAGATCATCGTAGTGACTGCTTAACTGCCAGACTGACACAGAAAATGTGTCAGAATCGCTGTCAGAAGGAGCTGACATAACTAATATTCAGCGCTGATATTATTTAACATCATGTTAAATAATGCAATAAATCCAGGTCACACAGACGTGACAGATGTAGAGAAATATCATGTTTGAACAAACATTTTGACTGCCCAGTTCCCTCCCCTTGTTCCTTTTGTTACAACAATAAAAAATAGAACTGAAATGATTTGTTGATTAATTGATTGACAGAAATTAATCAGTGACTATTTTCATAATCGAGAAGAAATGCCCCAAATCCTATTGTCCCACCAATTTGTGTTTTCTTCTATATCAAACTAAATATTGTAGGTTTTCGACTGTTGGTACAAAATATGTCAGCTTGGGCTTTTTGAAATCATTATGGACATTTTTCATTATTTTATGGACCGGATGGAACAGATTAATTGGGAAAAGAGACAGATTCGCCGATAATGAAAATAATCATTAGTTGCAGCCTCAAACCAGTGCATCAACTCTTTTCCTTCCTTCTGCGTCAGTCATTAAATGGGTAGATTACTTTTCCATTGTCTGTGGAGCAACAGTTTCTGTCTGTGCCACTCTCACTATCTGGGCTCACTCTCTGCCCCTGGCACAAAAAACTAACAGATAAAACAAACTGGCCTAGATACACATGTACCCCGTCACTGCTAATGACACACACACATGCTGTCGGAAAACCGCTCTGCCCTCATTGTTACAGTTTATTCATTTTTAGATCTAAGTAGATAGAGAGCACTAATGTGAAACTTTGGTTCACCAAACTCTTTATTACTTTATTACAAAATTAACTCTGCAACATTTACATTTAAACTATTTTGACGGTGAAATTACATGGTTGAATGAGATGTGGATGTGATATGAGGAGGGGGTTTGCTGTTAAGAGCCTGTATTCCCAAATGCATCCCAGCCCTGACATAATCTTTCACAGTGAAGATGACGTTATGGCACTCATATAGCAGAAAGACCAAAATCAATTTATTCAACTACTTCCCAGAAATTCATTAATTTTTAAGAGCTCGACAGTGGCTACAGGGGTAATACCAGATCCCACTGGAATATGAGTAGCCATCTATGTTGCCCTCCTCTAAAACTAAATTCTGAATATGTATATGATTTTGAAGCTGAATGAGAAAAGCTCTCAAATGAAGTGCAAGCAATGCTATGTTGAAGTGAAATCTTATTTTTGTGTGACTTTTATGGCAACCCTTTTCATGAGTCAGTGGTAAGTAAATGATAAACTAAGAATACCGACAATCAGTAGCTATTAGAGCTATTTTGCTTCTGTGAATTGCCACAACGCAACACTATCATTACAGACGATACGGTAATCAAGTTGCACAACATCATAACAATGATATGGAAGTGCTAATTTTATTTACCAGATTCTACGCCAATCAGGTTGTTTATTTATTAGTTCTTTAACATCGGGCTGTGCTGCTGTTCATCTAGAAAGAAAAGGAAAGTAGGAGCTGAATAAACTCCAGCCCACCCAAAATAGAGTACCAAGGCTAGCGCTCCACTGCCCCAGTTGCATAAATGTGGAACTAAAACATACACTGCAACTTGAAGTAAGTCCTCTGGAGGGAAAGTCTGATAAAAATGAGTGCTTCACGTAAATACTTGCTGTGTAGACGGTTTTCAAACTGAGACTCCTTGTGGGAGCCATTTAGTTGTTTCCCACTTCTTCACAGTAGCAAATAGCTTCCTACTGTGTTAGAAGGGCATGTACATAAATGTACCTTAAATTAAAACAGTACCTACATTGCTAACCAGATAGGCAACATATCAGCTCTAGAAGTTGTTTCACTTGTCACGTTTCTTGGAATACTCTCCAGTTAATGAGAGATAATAAAAGGTATAATACTTGATGTCAACTGTTAAATCTTGCTGGCCCTTGAAAGACAAGACATCTCTTGGATTGCCAGCTAATAAAAAGTATAATGTTCAAAACACAAACAACCCTGATGCTGCAGCTACCATGCCAGTTTGGCAAAGTCACTGAATGGAGAATCAGTATAAGAATTTAGATATGTGTATATATATACATATATATATATATATGTGCAGAATGTAGCACCTAGGTGTCCAAAATATATAAGGTTTCTTTAGGGAAACCCAGGCCTGGAGTAGAGTGCACCCACCTGTGTCTGTGAAGGTCTGAAGGTGCAGCTGAACGACTGCTGCAGCGAGTCCAGGAAGGGCTGGATCTTGTACAGACCTTGGTTGCTTCCCTGTGACGGCCGGAAAGCCACGATGTGGAAGTACTTGAGGATCTTCTCAAAGCGCGCTTGGCTCATCTTCAAGGCGATGCTCCTGTTGCTGAAGAAGCCTGAGCTCCAGATGCTGAGCACCGACTCACAGCGGTGCACGCTGGTGGATGTGACAAAGCCCAGGAAGGCCTTTATCTCCTGGGCTGTGACTGGACGCCAGCCTTCGTCTGAGCCGAAGCGCTCCTGGAACTTCTTGGCATACATGTTAGTCTGGATGACCATGTTTTGGATGCAATTATCTGGGACGAAGAGCTGGAAGAAGTCCAAGGCTGTGGCTGTGGCCGGCATCTTCTGAGCAGGACCTGGACAGGAGGGAAAAAGAGTGAAAAACTATGACAGAGGAAAACCGACAGATTGACAGATAGAGAATCCCACATGGGCTAACTCACAGACACAACTGTCACTTAATCCCAGTTTTTAAAATCTGGCACCAGGCCTTCAATTTGATTGACTTTGCTGAAAAAAAGATTTGCCTTTGACACTGTAAGACATGATAAAATTAGATTCCGTTGAGCTGTCACTGTCAAGGCTGTGTGGGATGCATACAAAGAAGCAACAACAACAGAGAGGACAAAATAATTACAGTAGTCTTAAATTGTGTTAAATCATGAGAGGTACTTTCAAATGCTGTTCTTTTTCATGAATCAACAACAGCAGCTTTTTCTGAGAATTTCACAAGCCCAGGGCAGCGGTTAGAAAGTTTATACAATGTGACAGCCACCACACTGTTTCTAAACTTGTGGAAGGTTTCAGTGTCTCCTTGCTTTAGTGTTATGGCAGGCAATGAGTCAAAAGGTCTGATCTGATAGTCGAGTCAGGAGGGAGCCATGAATGAAAAGCATCTAAGAAAATACAGTCAATAAAGCACCTAATGAGAGATAGTGTTAACATCAACGTTGACCTTTTTAACCAAAAAAATAGATGCACTTAAACCAGTGGATTTGCAAACACATGTGTAACATAACAGGCCGTGTTATCTGGTCTACTCCTCCAGTGATTCCCCCCGAGGGGCTACTTCTGCAGTGTCTTGGGGGTACATAGAAAGATAGTGGAGTAGCTTCACTTATTTAAAAAAGCTGGGACACCAGAATGCCCTGTGTTTGAGAGTGTGTGCAAGAGAGCAGCTTGTTTGTTAAAAGTGATTAATTGTTGAGACAGGCTTAGACTAACTTAATCAACAGTTAAAGGACCAGTGTGTAACATTTAAGAGGATCTATCAGCAGAAATGGAATATAACATTTCTAGGAATGTTTTCATTAGTGCGTTGTAATAAAATAAGAATTGTTGTGTTTTCGTTACCATAGAATGAATCGTTTTTATCTACACATGCCGACACATTTATCTGGTCGCCTACACCCTCCTAAATGTTACACAGCATGAAAGCCTAATCAAAATATTCCTGATAACCGATGATTTTATCATACGCTCTTTTGTATCTACTCAACAGTAAGTTTATGTCTTTCACATGTGTTATCAGTGTAATATTGTGATATATAAAATATAGTGGTGTAATATATATATATAATATAGTGTCTCTCCAGATAACAGGGAAAACTTTTCTTCTGTTCCTATGAAGCTATTTTCCCTCTTTGATATATTTGTCATTCACTACTGAGGGGGAAGTGACATATAATACTTCTCATTTAAAAGCTCTCTGTCTGTAAGCCTTTAGGGGTTGCACTGAAGTCACATAGTCCATACTTTATGCAGTGACTGGCTTGATGTGTTTGCTCTTGTAAATTACAGATTTTCTCAAAGGTTGCTGGATTTGTGAGAGGGATTTTGGACATTGAGTGGAACAACTCCAGGCTCAATTGAACAGCGCAGTATCATTATCTCTGACCAGCGCAGAACAAGATTTTCACTCCCTCTCTCTACCCTTTTCCCCAGTCAAGTTGTTGGCTGCAACCAAAATAATAAAGGACTTTTGATTCAGTCTTTTAATGTTGGGTTCTAAATAACATGTACAAGTCTTGAACCTAAACTGTTTAAGCAACGTGTGGAGGAGGACTAGAAAAGGAAAAAGATAGAGTAGTACAAGCACGCCCACAAAGCAGATGCTTGCGGCCAAGACAGCAGAAGTAGCCAGGGCACGGCTCAAAATCCACTTATTTGCATTCCATTAGACTTGAAAGCTGAAATGTAAAATCCAGCGTAACTTCCTCGGGGGGAGCCACTCCTCGATAAAAACACCAGACATTCAGATGGAAGGTCCACTGAGGCAAAATGACTCACCTCAGCTCATCTCAGGAGTTATATGAAAAAAATACAACCTGAGGAAGGACTCATCATTTTTATGGATAATGGAATTGTTTCTGTGTCCTCCATAGATTTTCCTTTATACATCCCTCCCAGCTGATCTCCAGTCCAGCCTTCATCACTCTGATAAAACTGGATCAAATATTTACATAACTCTTCTTTCAGACTACTAACATTATAAGATGTTTGTCTGCATGGAAAGCTTTGAAATATCAATATTTCCCACGTTACTCATTACAAAACTCCACCTACGTTGCACATACAGACGGAATCATAATCCCTCACGATTCTCAGCTGTCATAGTATTTTTATTGTCGAGGGACAAACATCTGCCTGGTAGAGCTTTTATAGCCATGGATTTAAGAATGAGAGATTACCATGTAGCTGGGAGGGATAAACCCTTCATGTAGACGAAAACATGCTTTTTAGCAGAAATTACATAAAGGACACGAGTTTAAGACAAATTCCAGCTATGGCTTAAATTAATACCACAATATTAATATTGTGAATTGATGTCAATATATAGTATATTCTTCATTCTATATATTTAGAATGAACCAAATCACATGTAACATTATGTGTTCTACTGCTATGCATTTCCTAAGATAAACCTCTTCACATGTATAAAATACAAACTTTAACAAATCCCTTTGTATCATAGCTAGCTTGGAGTAATTTATTTTGACAACAGAGTTGTGTGGAATAGTCACAAAATGTGATCCTATAAGTCTTTTGTATTGCAAAATCCAGAAAATGGATAAAAGTCTGGAAGAGAAGGCCAAATGGCTTATTCAATTAGCATTTTTTCTGATTTCTCCAGTAGTACATGTTTTGTAAGCGATAATGAACAAAAAAGTACCAGTATCTGGAAATGGTATATAGGTTTATGGAACTGTGTCCAGATCTGTATATCATACAGTATTATATCATGTCAGATTTGTGTGCACTTATTCTAGTTTTGTAATATATAATGAAAACCTGAAAATCTGATTGTGAAAAAAATGTTTCCTCTATTTTGGGATTTTTTATCAATTAATTTTTTATTAATTGTTTGAAAATGTATATGCAGCATTCTGGATATCACTTATCGGATTTTGTGGCATCATTCATATCATTACAATACAATTCCAGTGAGAGTCAACAGACCACTATTGAAATAAGTTATATTACCATTCAGTGTTTTTCTCCTCTGTCATGCATAAGACTTGTTTTGTTTTATAAGTTTGTTTTATGCTATTTAAAGTTTATTTAATTTTATACTTTTTTGTCATTGCATATCCAGGTCCAATACTTTAGTTTTCCTCTTTTTTTGTTTTGTGACTCTTTGGACTATTTGAAGTGTGAGTTAATAAATGCAGGCAAACAGCCAGTAGATAAAGCTTACAGTAGCTTTCCATATATAAATGCTTAAAAGAGAATACTATCAAGTTTCACTTTGTGTGTCTAAGTAAATGTACAGTTTTTCCAAATGGCAATGGCAAAAGGCAACATGCAAACAATTCAGACTGAAATACAAGGGTCAAGCAGATAAACTGACATATGGAAAGTACCAGTAATCTATCAGACATGCTCAGCAAAGCGAATGAATAAATAGCTCTTTAATTCCCATCAACATCACGATAAAGTGGTTATATAATCTGAGATGTGGATGTATGCTTCATAATCCTTGGCTTGGCCCTTTGCCACCAGTCTTGCACTGCAGGGGAAACACTCTCATGCTGAGATTAAGATAACACATCACCTATGAACTCGTCCGTGGTTTCAAACTTCTGCTGCTTGCTCAAAACCAAAGGAGGGTTTGCCGCTGTACTGTAAATGTAAACAAACCCGAAACACAAAGCAATCTTCAAGTCTGAATGAGGTTGACTCGATGCTTTCTGACTTGTGGCTGATGATTTATGTACGGGATGCACAGTCTCTAAGGAGTGGGGCTGTCACATCAACACTGCATCTGTGTCAGCACTGTCACGGCTAGAAAGTAAGACAGACAGAGAAATGTACAGGAAGAAAGACAGGCAGGTGACAGAAAGACTGCCAGACAGGAGGACAGATAGCTAGACAGAGAAATCAAGACACATAATAAAAATATTGCTGATATTTCAACCGTGGGCTGACTTGGTGGAAGCCTCATCTAGCTTAAGCAGCCTCCCTTTGCATGCCATTAAAATCAGCAGAGGAGCATATTTCTGTGGATACGCTGGTACTCAGGATGTGGTCAATCTTTACTGTTTAGGCCGATTAAATCGGAGTACGCTCTTGGATACTTGAGGTCTGAAGTGTGATTATGCTCCCTAGCAGTTAATCATCTCAGCCATGATGCAGGATGGCGGGACCACACCCACACTGACTCTGCTTGTGCAAATAATCACTAGCTGTATCTCAGCAAACCAGAACAGACCATACAAAGCAGACAGACACACCTGCTGCCTCTCTAGCTTAAGTCAACAGAGCAAAAAGAGACAAATAGAGCAGGAAAGAGCAGGATGTGGTATGGGAGGAGTACAGAACATCCTGGGCCTTTTCTCTCACCGAAGGACCTCTTGTGGTACCCCGAGTCACTCAGCTCAGTGTGGTTCAGATTATTTTGGATAAGTGACAAATCTGGAACAGGTTTTCTTTGGCGTCCTGCTCAGTAATGCTGCTTTCTGAGACGGGCCAATGCCACTACCTTCGATTTGGGAGCCATACACCTCCAACAGCAGCCACTAGCCACTGGTTAAAACCTCTTACCTCATGATCATTTCTGGTCTTTTATTTTGAATTCTGAAGCTGTGCATTTTTTCTGCTAGAACAGCTGGCAAAACAAATCATTGAATACAACCAGAGCAATACATTTCCAGTGGTTTCCTGGCACTTTGCCTATAATCAATTGTGCTTTTATAAATTTTTAAATGAATGTACCAATGTGTGTTTCATGCTTGTTTTCAATGTGTGAGCAGAGTGGGGTTTGGTCTATATCTGCTACAGCCATATGTTGGTTCACCTCCAAGGGTGCCACAGAGCAACATGTCACGGTGGATACAGGATGGCATTTCCACCAATCGCTTTTGCACAAGCTACAGAAGAGATGGGAGAGTAGAGACAAAAAATCCAAATGAAGAAACAATGCACTTTCTGTACTTAGTGATAGATAAATGGATAAAAACTGTTCGGTAGAGACTAACTGTAGGCACATGTTGGCTAGCAACGTGTTTTTTTCACAGCATGAGGACAATTTGAGACAGACTGAGGCAAAGAAAGGCAGAGAGACAGCAGTGTGGGTGCACAGTGCTTTTTACTGTCACGATTCACACACACACACACACACACACACACACACACACACACACACACAGGTCTCCTATTCACACACACAATCGAAGATAAAGTGTGCAACCAAAATCAGGGTGCCTTGAGCTTGTGTCCAACACCAAATTTAGACAAAGCCTTTGTGCATGTATTCTGCATACATACACCAGACTTCATGTAATGTGTTTGATGTGTGTGTAGAAGCAGGAAGAGACAACATGCTGTTTCTCTAAATTAAACAGCATGTCTCCCTGCAACTGCACTGAAACAGGAGCACACACACAGGACAGCATGTGTAGCTACCACAGCACCAAGGGGTGAAGTATCAAAGGCTAAGCGTCTGCCATTAACTTAATACAGCAATTAACGATGCAGTGTCATGCTTCTCTGTGTCACTACACACACAAATACGCGTGCGCACAAGGAGGGTGCACGCACACACACACACACACACACACACACACGAAAATGAACAAGCATGTCCCATAGCAACATCCTTTTGTATGTTTTGTCACCACATGACCACATCAATGGCCTGCCTGACCTGAAAAACCCGAACGTGGACTGCACTGTTTCTGCCCGATCCACCACCTCACCCCCACCCAATTCTTCCCCGTTGCGCAAATGACCTTATTCATCTTTGTCGTGCATCACGTCTCACCATATGTCTCTTTGTACGGTGGCACCGTGACATCCTGCAGCGTCTCCGTCCAGCCCTCCTCCTCCGCCTGACTACGGGACAGAGAGCCCGGGGGACCGGCTCCGCTGCTCCCGCCGCCGCCTCCTGCTGCCCAGCTGTGTCCGCTGTCTTTATCTCCCCGTTTTTGGTGGTGGTGCTTCGGTTGCTGCTGCTGCTGCTCCTCCTCGCCAACCTCGGCTATGTAGTTGTCGGAGTCGGAGTCTCCGGAGGTGCTGTAGAAGGGATTGTCGCTGCTGTCATCCCCGGACTCGCCGAACACGTCGTCGGATATCTGCAGGCTCTCGTACCGGGAGCGGGCCGCTTCCAGGAGAGACAGCGCCTTCCGCCCGCACTCCGCCATCTCTCTCTGTAGTGATGCTGCTCTGCTCCCCTTTTCTCTTTCGTCCACCCTCTTCCTCACCCTTCCACTACGGCTTCAGCGGCGTGCAAGTGGTCACGATGTGTTTGCCTTTAATGTGGCGGCTACACCTCGCCCCCCCCTTTTTTTTTTTTTTTTAAAGCTATGAATTATGGTCCCCCTATCCTCCAGGCTCGGATGCGGCGGAGCCCGGCGGTCAGCAGCGTGTGGATCCGGGGAGAGCTGTCCGCCTCAAGGGTACTGAAATATTTCCGCCCCCTTGCTCAGTCTATAGCGCTGCGCACTGGGCAAAATTAGTTGTGGCACAGCATCCGGGTTGAGAGACCAGAGATTTCTCCACAGTGAGGCAAAATAGAGAGAGTAGTGGTTGCCGCTGCATCACCTGACACCATTATCCCTGCCCTGTCATCCAATAAGATACATTTTCATATCCAAACTCAGAGAGGAGCGGCGGATGGGTGTAAACTGTGCACAACAATGTAGTGCATAGCACTATAGAAGTAATGGAAATATAATACAATGGTGAAAAGCAACAAAAATCAATGATAAATATATATATATATATATATAATAATTAGTCATGTACTTGTTGAGCCTATGTCTACATCCACACTGACAAATAAAAACAAACAAACTTTTACACACTGAATCTTCAGTATTTACTCAAATGATCTCCCTACAATGTCCATACAGCTGATTTCCTGATATTTACTTATTTATAAGGCTGAGAAACCTTTATTTAGTGTAGACACTAACATGCATTTTGGAGGCCCCTAAACAACCCCTTCTGACCCCCCAAAACAAAGCAGACAATATAGCCTATTTTAACCTCTTAAATTATACAAGAACAACTAAAAAATCCCCTAAAAGAGAGTCCCGATGAAAATGAACCCTTGGATATTCAGGGTGGTGCAATATACTGGACCGGCCTGTCGACTCCATGCTGTAACAGTCAGTGTGTTCTGGTTGGCAGGGCCATTATGGATCAACAGGATCATTAGTGTGCCAAACTTTATCAAACATATTTGGTAATGAGCTCTGTGTTAAGACAGGGTCATTTTGGTCACAAGGACACTGACAAGTCTTTATTTTCTTTCCTCCTTTATGTCTGCAGTTACCGCTCGCTGCCTCACGGGGGCGCTGTAGTCTTCTTCCTCGTTGGTGCGCTTGCCATGTTTGCGGAAGCTTGGTGAAAGCAGCCTGAAAGCAGCTAGCTGGAGGGCTTGTGACTCTTCTCTGTATGTTTGCAGCTGTGTTTTAATAATCCCAACATGAATCTACCGAAGGGACCGGATTCTTTGTGCTTCGACAAGGATGTTTTTATGAAGGTAAGACTCAATAAACGTCACGTTTAGTTATATATATATTTATACTGTTAAATTAGCTAGCATTAGCTAGTTGACTGTCAGTGGCTGTTCGTATTGACTTGTACCTTTTGAATATAGACATTTAATCCAGTTAATAACTGGTTAAATTTAAGTCACAGCTATGGTTAATGTTGTTTATATACATATGTTAAACCCTACTGTTCATTAATCATAATCCCTAGCAGCAAACGACGTAAAGTAATGAGTTAAATGTGTTCTCTCCATTTTCTGATGCACCTTGTCTGTCCCTGTGTTAGTGATACTGGGTGTCTTTGTATTACCCAGTGCTGTTAAATAATATCAAAGTGTGTGGTCTGTCTGCAGGATGACTTCGACGTTGACCAGTTTGTGTCGGAGTGTCGGAAGCAGGTCCAGCTGGAGGAGATGAGAGAGGACCTGGAGCTCTACTATAAGCTGCTGAAGACGGCCATGGTGGAGCTCATCAATAAGGACTATGCAGACTTTGTTAACCTCTCCACCAACCTGGTAAGATGTTGTTATTAATGTTGCCCATTTGCCACTGTGGGTTTTTGTACTTTACACCCAGCAGCTTGTTGTTTGACCTTTATTGTAAAATGTATTGATGAATATCGGATAAATAATATTTGTTATATGCTCTGGAGCCCAACCTCAGCAAGCCTTGCTTTTAGTTGATTTATTATCAGAGATATATTGGTATTGGGGTGTATGTTGGTAGATATGCAGAAATAAATTGCAGTGCAGTAAACTGCAGCATAGTTCATTTGTTAATTTGTTTGTTGTTAATAATTAGTAGTTAGTTTGGGTATTTGTGTAACATTTACTGTTACTTTTATCATTGATAACTGGATTTTTTCTCTTCTCCCACAAAATATTTCTTTATGTGATGTATTATGTCAAAAAGTCAAAAACATATTGGTTGATTGTTATTTAATTTGTATTCTCAAGTTTCAATATTGCCACCAGTTTAAATGTGCTCTTGATACGCGCTTGAAAAATGAAAGGGAGCATCCCACACAGTTTCTAATCTCAGATCTCTGCTCCCTCATGTCAGGTAGGGATGGACAAAGCTCTCAGTCAGCTTTCTGTGCCATTGGGACAGCTACGAGAGGAGGTTATGGTATGTGTTCTGATAAAGTATACCTTATTTCCTTATGCCTTATTGAGTATTCATGCATGTTTCTGGCTGTTCTCTATTGCAGAGTCTGCGGTCTTGTGTAAGTGAGGTGATTCAGGCTATAGACAGCCAGCTGTCCAAACAGGATGATCTGCAGAAAAAAAAGGTTTGGCTTCTCGACAGTCGATCAAATTTAGTTTTCATCTGTAAATATATTTTATGATCACCTTTACAATACTCTGAGACAGTCTAGTATGGCACGTCCATGCCAAACTGTGAACTGTTTCAACTGGCTATATTTACAGATGATTAACCTGCTGTAAATGTACAATCATAAACAGATCATAAACGATCTCCATTTATTATCATCTTCCTTTTGCTATCCCATCCATCAGGTGTGTGTATTGAGGCTGATTCAGGTGGTGCGCTCAGTGGAGAAGATTGAGAAGATCCTCCACTCCCAGAATTCTAAGGAATCCAGCTCTCTGGAAATCAGCAGGTGGGAAAAACACATGTTATGAAACCCGCTGGCGTCACCTGGTAGATAATTTGTCACTTAATGCCGAAAGGTTATTTACCAAGTAATGGCAGTTTCAGTATTTGCACATCAATATTCGGCCTAGGCAGGATATTATGACATATTGATATTATTCATCACAAATGAATCAATAGATTAGACAGATTCAATTTGGTTAAATTTGAACATGTTTTTTTGGAGCAGTGGGAAAAGCTATATTTCTGTTTGGTAATTTTATGCATTGCATTTCCCTTTACAACAAATATCAAAGTTGCTGGCACAAAAGCTTTGCAAAAACTTTGGAAGCTGTACTTGAGCACACCAAAGGTTGTAATTGTTTGAGCCTGGGGCGCCCTGGTAGCTCACCTGGTAGAGCTGGCACCCCATGCACCAAGTCCTTGCTGCAGAGGCCCAGGGTTTGACTCCGACCTGCTGCCCTTTGCTGCATGTCATCCCCCTTCTCTCTCACCCTTTCCTGTCACTCTTCAGCTGTCACTATTAATTAAAGGCAATAAAAGCCAAATTAAAAACAGAAAAAAAGAAAGAAATTGTTTGATCACTGCATAGATATAGTACTAAGCTTTTGTGTCTGATTTAATGTCTGTCTGTCACTGTACAGTCCCTTGTTAGCAGGTCAGATCCTGGAAAGGATTGCTACAGAATTCAACCAGTTGCAGTTCCACGCTGTACAGAGCAAAGGCATGCCCCTGCTGGACAAAGTCAGACCTGTAAGTGTTAACAGGTTGATCAGTCAGACAGCTGATAAACCAATAGCCAGTCAGTTTGTCTGTCTGGCTGCTCTTCTGTCAATCCATCAGTCCGGCTGGAATATTTCAATTTCTTAACTGTGTATGTGACACGGTTCTGTCCTCTGTCAGCGTATCGCAGGGATCACCTCCATGCTGCAGCAGTCCCTGGAGGGCCTGCTGATAGAGGGCCTGCAAACATCCAACGTGGACATGGTGCGTCACTGCCTGAGGACATATGCCACCATAGATAAGACTCGAGATGCTGAGGCCTTGGTAGGACAGGTGCTGGTCAAACCATACATGGACCAGGTAAACATGTCATACAGGTTTTTATATAGTGTAGATCCAAAGGAAAGTTTCTTTAACGTTAATTGATAAATTTCTCATGTCCTCTCCTCCTTTTAGGTGATAGTAGAAGAGGTGGTGAAGTCCAGTCCAAATGGTCTCCAGATGATGTACTCTAGACTGTTGGAGTTTGTTCCTCATCACTGTAGACAGCTTAGAGAGGTGACTGGAGGAGCCATATCCAGGTATTTATGCAAATTAATTCAAAGCATCTATTAATCAAGTAGTTCTTTGATATGTTTCAAAGTCCTCTTGAGTCTACTCGAAAAGCAAATTGTCTGCTCTAATCTGTTGCATTCAGCACATTGACCACACACCACTGATATTTATTTATTATGTTTTATTTGTATATTAATGTAAATGCATCATTTACTCAACATATTTTTTCTAAATAAAGTCAGCTTCATGACAGTTTGTGTCTGCTGGCCATCAAAGATTTCTTTCTAAAATAATAACTGTTATTCCTTGTGCACATGGAATTAATCTTTTGTGCTGATGTTCTCTCTCTCCTTAGTGACAAAGCTGACATAGTACCAGGTTATGATTTCCTGGTGAACTCTGTGTGGCCAGAGATAATCAAAGGGATAGAGGAGAGGTTGGCCTACCTCTTCAACCCTGGAAACCCTGATATTTTCTATGAGGTACAGCTACAGTGACACCGTTGTATGCATTTACTTTAGTTTATTGTATGCTGTCAAATAAGATTACATTGAGTTGTTTTACCAGTGTGTGTGTTTTCTCTTGACTCTTCTTTTCTAGCGTTATAGCGCGAGTATGGACTTTGTGCGGAAGTTTGAGCGTCAGTGCAGCTCGCAGGCCGGTGTGAAGAGACTGAGAGTACACCCCTCGTATACCAGCTTCCACAACAAATGGAACCTGCCCGTCTACTTTCAACTACGGTGCATATTACCTCAAAACGTTCTATACTATACATACTACAGCCTGTAGATTACACAATGTACATTACAGTTTGTTTCACATCAACTTCATGCCATGATTGGCAAGCTATGTGGAGGTGAGAAAAGAGCCAGGGTTTGAACTTCTCTCTCTAGCTCTCTTTTTTTCACTATTTCACTTTTCACATGAACAAGTAAATGCAACACTATGTATGCCTTCCAGGAGTTGACTCCTTTGTCACCTCCACACAGCTGGCCAGTCACGACATGAAGCGAGTAGAGTTACAGGAAAGGTCAGACACAGCTCCCTCTGATCTGATGCCAGAAAGTCGTGAGGGAAGGGGTTTCCTCAAGTTATACAACCATCCAACAAGCACTTCTGATGAGGCATATTGGGAGCTTAACTTCTATGGTAACGGCAAGACTTTCTGGAGTTTTGTTGTCATGGTGAGGTTGCCATGCAACCAGAGAGACTCTAAGAAGGCACCATGCCTGGCCAAGAAATTGTCCCTTACACAACCCCCGTAAAATCAAAACTTCATAGTTTTACTTTTAGTTTACTGTGTGGGTTAAACAAATGACATAACATGTTAATAATAATTAGTCAGTAATTAGCGAGCTCTAGACGGGCTGGTAGGATGATTTGTTACATTTGGACACAGTCAGGTTATACATTTCTCCATTTCCAGTGTCTGTGCTAAGCCATCTACTGGCTGTAGCTTGTATTTGTATTTATATCTGAGAGTGGTATTGACCTTCTCATCTAGCTCTGAGCAAGAAAGCACAAGTGTATTCCCAAAATGTCAAGCTGTTTCTTCAAGCTAAATGGTCATTAGTGAAGCTGGAATTTTTGCACAGCATGTACATTGAAGATTGGCCTTGCTTTAATCACTCAAGAGACAGGCTTTCATCAAAATTGCAGCCTGTCAGCATTTTTAAGGGGAAAAAAGACAAGTTGGCAGATGTTCACAAGTTGAACAAAGCTTGTTTTTACTGGAATCTGGAAAATTGCTTATGGGTGTGAGTTTCATGCAGAATGATGACAAGAAGCAAAATGTAAATTGAGGATGTGTATCAGCGTATTACTAAACATATCCCATAAACATGACACTGGACCTTGACTGAATGGCCATTGATTTGTGTGAAAAAGTAGAGAAGTTGTCTACTGTTTGTCAAACTCCTCCCGCCCCCACAAACACGTACACACTGTACAGGTTAGGGCTTGTGTTCTCATTTCACAATACTGCCCAGTTCGGCTTTGTCTGGAAAGTCCATAATTTCCAGCGCATACAGTGTTGTTTCACGTCACGAGCGTGTTCATATCAGAGCTTATGCAAGAAATAAGCTGATAACACATTGATTGTTTTGTCCTTCCCCTCTCTGTGTGTCTCTCCTTGTTTTTAGGTACAAGGAAATAGCAGGAAGTCTGGAGAACACCATAAGTGATGGACTAGAGGCAGCACCAGGTAGGAATATATTTTCCATCAAGAATGCCAGTGTGCCCCTAAAACTTTTCCTGCAGTAACTGTATATCTGTGTCTGTTCATGTCCAGCTGGCAGTGCATACCATCTGCAGGTATCTGAGGTGTTGTGGTCCTGTCTAGTGAGATGTTGGTCAGACAAAGTCTACTTGTCACCTCTTGCCCATCGCTTCTGGAAGCTTACGCTGCAGCTCTACGCACGATATGCCAAGTTTCTTGATGAGGTAAACTTAAATAACCAGAAGAGGACCATAATGATTTAAAGATTATTTTTAAGAGTAGTAATTCCAACAAAGCATTATGCAAATGAATAGCCACGTCCTGTTTTCTGCTCTTGTTCCTCATCTCGGTCGGTGTCTGCACAGGTGTTGACTAAGACGCCACCCTCTGAGGTGACCAAAGAGCCAACCAGGCCTCTGCCAAGCTCAGCCTCGTCCACCTCCAGCCGAACATCAATGGATGAGGGCGGCAGTGAGAGTGGGAGTCCTGCCTCCCTGTCCACCAAACAGCTGGTGTACATTGCAGCTGACATCCAAAAGCTGCAGGAACAGGTGCATACACACAAACTAAATACATGTATTTACATATGTTACATTTCAGACTTACGGGGTTAATCTTAATCTTAATTTTACACCAGTGACAAATTGTCAGTTTTTGAGAATTCTATAACAGTTTCCACTGATGGCCTGCTTGTCTTTCTCTTAGATACCAGAGTTGGCAGAAATGGTCCGACAGCGGTTAGAAGCCATCGGATTCAAAAACTTTGCTATTGTGGAAGGTAAGCTACCCAGTGCATATGGAATTAATTGTAGTTTTTCACTTCCTTTGCAGTGTTTACTTGATCTTATTCTGCAATGTTTTGTCAGGAAATGAGGAACAAATGTGCAAGAACTTTTTTTTTTTTAAACTGCTGCAAAGCACTGGATGTTTTTCTGAACAGAAATTGTAATATGAGTAGATGTTTTTTGAGGATACTCTTGTAATCGGCAGGGACTACTGCACTATTTCTGCTGTGGCCTTTTTCTTTATTGAAAACATGCCAAGGGACACATGTCAATGCAAACATAACTCTAGTGTTCACTGACATTTAAAAATGTAACCATTCAATCCACAACAGGCTTTTGAACATGACATCTTCAAAGACAGTATCTCAAAAGTCACAAAATAAAGTCATTCATTGCTTGTGCCTTCAGCACAAGGGTAACTCAGAACTTGTGTACTTTTGCATTTACTAGTGTTCTCTTTTCTGTCAGATGCTCTATCGGACTCTAAGGCTTGCCTGTCAAGTGGTATTCCCACTCTGAATACCAGGATGACCCAGCATCTGACTGATCGCTGTTGCCGCTTCCTGAAGAGTGCCTCTGAGGTTCCACGACTCTACCGCAGGACTAATAAGGTCAGTGAAGCTGCAAACATGCACGTGTGTGTTTCTCCAATATTTCATCATATAACATACTGTATCTCGGAGCAAACATTGGAAGCGCTCTGGAAGGCTCGTTCACTTGGAACTGGGTTGTGGCATATACATTTTTTTCCTAATAGAAATGCTATAATCAAAGGTCAGCCCACCTCCATAGCTTCTCAAAGGACACTGATTGGTCCGATACTACTGTACCAAACGCAATTACATACAAGTGCATACAACATTTTACATTCTCCTTGAACAGGATCTCCCAGTGCGTGCATCAGCCTACATGGACAATGCCTTACGCCCTTTACATCAGTTGCTGACTGACTCAACGGGGTTGGTCACCCCCTCTACAGCACTAGAGTGGCTGCGAGTTGCACTGTCTGATTGCACACAGAGGTAAGCTAACACACACACACACACACACACACACACACACACACACACACACACACACACACACACTTCCAAATATAGTGTTGAAGAATTAAAACGCATGGTTTATGCCTATGATGTTTACAGAATGAGCTATTCCATTTAATATAATTGATAATATCTTTTCTGAAAATTGGATTTCATTTTCTAAAGTTTTCCACTTTAATTTTCTATCTTTCTTGTGTTCAGGTACTATGAGACCATCTCAGAGGTTCTGAGCTCAGTGAGAAAGATGGAGGAAAGTCTGAAGCGACTGAAGCAAGCCAGAAAAGGTGCAAGCACGACTACCACAGCCGGAACAAACGGTGGACCCACAGACGACAGCAAGATCCGACTTCAGTTGGCACTGGATGTGGAATACCTGGGGGAACAGGTTAGTGCAGTTCTTTTTACAAACTCCTCTGTGATCTGAAATATGTTTAATCATTCTCTCTTACCCTGCTCTGTACTGTTGTGTGTCTCAGATCCAGAAGATGGGTCTGCAGCCAAGTGACATCTCCATGTTCTCCACTCTGATGGACCTTGTGAAAGAGGCCCGAGAGCTTGCTGAACAGAACCAGTAAAATGCTGACTCCATAGTAGAAGAAACCCATTAACATACTGCACTCTTCCTTGCATTTCCTGAAGACTTCTGAAGGAAAAAAAAACATTTGTCCCAGTCCAGGTCAAAGTCATGTTCTGGTAACAGTTCATGACGATCAGACCAGGAAGAATGTAGGACAAAAACTGACACTACTGAAATCCCTTTTCAACCTTTCGTACAAAAACATCTCTGTTTAATGCAGTCTTAAGAGCCATATTGCGCAAACATTTCAACAGCAGGAACCTGCTAGAGTTACTGTACATCAAGCTGTTAATTGTTCGTTGGAATTGGGAGAGAAACTACCGTCTGTGGGTGAGACCAAATCATCATTGGTTCTACAATGTGAACAAAAGGGACTTAATGGTACTTTATTCATGAAATGTTTTTCACAGAATGACTAATGCTGGGTGATATAGAAAGATCTTGTACTGATCATAATTCGGGCCAGAATGTGGGGTAAAACTCTTTGAAGTCTCAAATCAAAGTTGTGAAGAGAGAATGTCAATCACACAATATTTGTCTAATTTCTGCTACTTGGTGAAGGATTAATATCAAATAAGATATATATATATATAAGAAGTCTGTTAGTGTGTACATGTAATTTTTTTTAAGATTGTTAAGTGGCATAATATATGTTTAACATAATGTAACATAACTTGGAAATAAAATAACTTTGTACACAGTATTGAATTTGTGTATTTAAATGTAAAGGTCATTAGCATTGCAGTGTTCAGATCCTTTACTACAGTAAAAGTATAATACCACACTGTAAAAATACTCTTTTACAAGTTAAAGTACTGTATGTATAATCAGGAAAATGCACCTCAAGTATTAAAAGTACCCAGGGCAGGAAAATGTCCCCTATGACTGTTATACTACCATTTATAATAACATTAGATTATTTTTACCCGTGCATTAATATAAAAGCAGGATTTATAATATCTAAATCAAAAAACAACTAAAATTTGGTTATGAATAACTAGTTTTACATTTTGCCTCAAGAGCAATTCACACATTTATTCACATATTTTCTAATATTAATGAGTAAGGTGTAAAATAAAGTATATATACTACTACCACAGTGACCACATTTTCACCAATTCGCAGATGGCTACATAAAAAAGAAATACAGTAAACAGTGCTGTTAATGTCTACTCAACACTCGGTATGAATGGTTATTAGACATGGAGTTTTTTTAATTTGAGTAATCTTTAAGTAAGTAATCTGTTTAGTTGAAAAGTTGTATTGATAGTGGGAGGACACTGCATTATTTCTGTAGTATTTAATGTTACTGCTTACTATTATATATTCATTTCAGTTTTTGTGAACAAGAATAAGGGGCAACATTTTGGAAAAAGAATTACATGATGTAAAGGTAATGTGTTGAACAACAGTTTATGATAAAAAATAAATTGTCTAAATCAATTTCCACACTGTCAGCAATAAATGTAGCATAATCCCTAACCAGAAAGTTGATAAGATGTGTCCTTTATTGATCCCCAGCGGGAGAAATTCAAGAATTTGAATAATAATCTCTTGCATTTTTCTGCTGTCCAATTTTGTTAGCATTTCTCTCCGGACCTGTTTATATTGATACAAGACTCATCTGAAGCATTAAAATGGTAATAACTTTGTCTGAAATCCTAATGAAAAACAATGATATTTTAATTATACTGGGAAAAATGGTTTATTACAGCAATCACAAATTGTGACAAAACAAAAATAAACTCTTAGTTACAATATACAACGTCATTAGTCATTCATCATAGAGAATTGTGGTTACTGTACCTACTCTACTGAAAAATACTGTACAGAACTCTGCTATAATAAATTTTACAGAAAAAAACAATTAGAAGTTTTAACAGGCAGCTTGAAAACAACTCAGCTTAAAGTAACAGGTTTTCATAAGTACTGTTTTCATAAATCAGCAAGGTGGTGAAAGATAACACTGTTGAATATTGATAGATCCTTCTTGAGTGAGGTTGTGCTTCATTTCTTATGTACTGCATATGCCCATTATTTCAGCTGAAAAACAAGGTTATGATCTAAATGAGATGTCTGTTGCGTGATTGATTTCAGCACCTGCGGAAACTAAAGCTGTAGGCAATGAGGTACATTGTAAATAAATGGGACTGGGATGTTGGACATTTTTCACATCAGAGGTTTTTGGTGGTTTTAAGCACTATGTAACTTTAAAGTGTACTGATCTTTCCTAGCATGAGGATCGTGTTAGAATATCCCTCTATGACAGAGAATAAGAACGGCCGGTTGATGGACAGTTTCAGAGGGATGCCAGCTTCCTGGGTGTTGTCCTGCTGCTCTGCTTCTTCTTCTTCTTCTGACATGTCAAACCTCACCTTGCTGACCACCTGAGAGGAGACATCTGTTAATGATGCACACATAAACAGGGTTTTTTTTTTTAAGAATATGACAAGATGACCACTCATCCACTTCACCTTATCTATAGTGAAGGGTTGGGTGTTGCTGAGTTGGCTGAACTCAGCCTGGGAGCCCAACAGTTTGCTCTCAACTACTGGACCCATGTTGGTCAGCAGGGTGTTCAGATCCATCTCGGAAGACATGGAGAACTTTGGGAGGGACAGCTCCAACAGACTGGAAGGATGGACAGAAGGGGAGACAGATATTGAATTTTAAGATGGAAAGTATTTGAACTGAAATGGGACTATACCTGACTCTTTCTCCCCTCAAAATCTATAGCCCGATTTGCTCTACACTGATATGATGACACATTATTGATTGACTGATGGTACTAGCTAAGTTATTTCTAATTTATGAATAATAATCCAACCTTGCATAGTAACAATTACAAAACTATCATGCAATAAATTGTAATTGCACAAAATAGGCCTGAAAGCTTAGAATGACCTATGCAACACAAAATGTGATATTCAAACAGAAATACACATTATTGTCCACTGAAAATGTTGAGCAATAAAGTCACATGATGTTGATGGAACTAAAAATGGATGCACACACGACAATAAAATATGCCTCAGATTTCTAGTCCGTCAGCTTGTAGTATTGTAAAGGACATCAAGCATCATAGGTGATACTAGGTGATACTAGGTCTGGATTTAGGGTTTAAAAAAGCAATTCTCACACTTCCTGGAGGTTCTGCAGCCAGTCAGATATGACATCAGGGTTCAGCTTAGACTCTATGTCTTGGATGTTGACTCCTTCTTGAGGCAAGACTAGCAACATGTAGGACCGTTTGCTCAAAGACAGCTTCACAACTATGCACCGCCGTACCTTCATGGTAACAAAATAAAAATATTACAGTGGAGTCCAGTTATTAGGATTTGAGCAAGCTCACTCATCCAAGTACATTCAATAATGATGCAAATATGTGGTGAACAGAAATACACAAATGGGACAACAAAAAACCCCCAAAGATTTACCTTATCATCCAGGTAGTGGTACTGACCCGTGAGGGTCATCCGTGGAACCATCGCTGTGGTTCTTTCATCCACATGAAACTCCTGCAGCGTCCTCTCTGCTTGGAAGGCTGTCCTCCACTTGCCTGAACAGGCACAAGCAAAGAACATAATCAGGTACTGTGGTAGTTGACAGCATACTATTCACATTGTTATCTGCAGAATTTCAGTTTCTAAGGGCGATTGACTGGCACATGTATACTGTAAGGTAAATGTACTGAAACTTTATTGCAAATCTGACTTTGATCATCTGTTCATCATGAATGCACCCATATTTTATATGTCCCACAAACATTAAAAACTATCATCTTGGTATTGTGATGAGGAGTGAAGTCCTAAATGTGGTATCTGTTTGCGTTGCACTTTAAAATACAAAGTTAGTTCTGACTTTAAATTATAAATCTCAAGCTGCGTATTTTGTAAAATAAACTTAACAGAGATCTAAACAAATGAGCGGAAGAGACAGACCTTGGAAGTTGAAGAGACTAAGAAACAGAAGGTTGCTGCTGGAATTCAGATCTCTGAAGATGCTCTTCACCTTCCCTTCTGAGGTCTTGTCCACAAAGCTGTTTACCAGCTGCTCAGCCTCCTGAGGATTGGAGAAGTCCACGCCACGGATGAACGACGTGTCTGAGAGCTCCTGTGTGCCTTGAATAAAGTCCTGGGCTAGTTGAGCATCCTGGCGAGTGAAGGTCCACACCTGGGTAGTGATTTCATCTTTTGGTCCATCGTCCACCAGAGAGTTAATGCTCTGCAGGGTCTTGAGAACCTTGTGTCCGTCCACGAAATAGACACAGTCCTCTCCGTCATTGGCACTGCTCAGGCCCAGTAGAGACTGGAAATAAAGGGGTGAATTGGGTTAAATTTCAATGAACAAGACCTGCTAATCAGATGGATGGTTAGGCCCATATCAATCATTTCTTTGAACTATCCCCAAAGTGAGAACAAATCAAAAGCAAAGACCTGGAACGAGCACGCTGTCTTCTTGGAGGCTCCCAGGTAGAAGGTTACGAGGGATCCGAAGGTGTTGTACGGAGAGAAGAGGATGTTGCCCCTGTGTTGCTTGCTGCTGAGATCCTGGTACATCCTCAGGCCCAGAGAGTTCAACAGCCCTGCCAGAACCGCTGTCCTCTCTGTGATGTTCTGCCTCTGTGCATCCAGTTCCGACGTGTCCCTGCTGTCTGGTGTCAAGACTTTAATATCAAGAGGGGCCACAGGAAGTGCGTTCAGAGACTTGGACGTCTGGCCCTCCAGGGTCTCATAGCTAACATTCTCGGCGGCAAAGAGGTGGAAGGGATGAACATAGACGCGGTTCGCTTGGCTTCCTGAGAGGTAGCAGCAGAGTAGGAGGGCTAGAAGAGGTGACTGCGGAATCTGCATTTTACCTTTTGCTGGTAGTCACCTTAAAACGATGTCTTCTGTGGAAGGAGACAGATATTTTTAGTTTACGATGAATTACATTCAGTATACCAACCTATCAACTGCCTCTTGAGTCTTAGTGAGCACTCAGTATTGGGTGGCCTGTGAATGGTACATCACTATTAGTGTGGCTTTCGTCAGAAATCTGGCTGGATCTGGTTTTCCGTCTCTGACAGGATTGGCTGGCAGGAACATTGGACATAGAGCAGCATGTCAGTGATGGATTGATTGCTCTTTGTGTGTCCTCTCTCCTGCTGATCAGTGAATGAGAGCAGGCATTACCCTCTGCAGCAGAGGTCGCATAGATAATGAAGACTCATCTATGTGTGTCTGTGTGTGAATTTGTCTGTGTTCACCGACTAAAATAAGATGGATGTTTCATTTGGATATTGTTAAAGCAGCCTTCAGACTGAGCGCAAGCAGTCATCAAACAAATTTACATGCTCAAATTGTCACCATACATTAAGACAAAACTGTTCACTCTGGACACTGTGATTGGAAAATATGATACCTTGGACACATTTGGCTGTATTTATTTTGTAATAACTGTAATAAACGCATACCTAGAATGAATGAATAAATGTAAGTTGTGAAACAAACTTTTACATGCACATAATAAAAACAAATATTTTGCTTGATTATTGAGTTCATGGAGATAGTTCACATTTTCTCAACTGGCCATTGTAATTTTGTTGTTGGAGCTCCAAATGTTCCAAAAGTTTATAGTTGAACTGACAACTTCCTCTCTTTTATGAAAACTTTTTATGCATGAACCTAGATGTCTGTGAAGGAGAATAACTTGGCCGAGTGCTCTTATGCAAAAATAGGACTTTATCCTTTGAGTTGAACGTGCAGACATGTGGACTGATGGACTCTTGGAAGAGGTAAGCAAACACTAGATTTTCCTCTATTTGGACATGTACCACAGGACATGGCCTTGGTCTCTTATCAATAAAACCAGTGCACGCAAATGTTCTTATACACAACCAACCCACCCGTGTACCAGATGACTCAATGACAGGGGTAAAAAAACATGACTGATTTATGATCACTGACGTTTTCTCTCAAGATCCAGAATTTTCACAAATTTTTTTACATAATCTGCTTCATCATAACCTTCCTCTTACTTCTTGTAGCAACTTTGAATAAATCTGTTGCGCTGATTATTTTTTTTAAGTAGATAATCCTCAAATGAAACTAAAAAGTAGGTCAAAGAGAGTTTGACAGTGGTGCTTCTTTGTACACAATTTTTAGACATTCAGAAGATAATTTGCTTTTGAAGAATATACTGGATCAGACCCAACCATTATAGGATGCTAAACTCACACATTTCCCCTCATCTCTGACAATTTTGTTTATTCACTGTACTGCACAATCAAAAGGCAATTACTGAGATCAAGTCAAAGTTTGCTCTTACCGTGTGTGTCTTCTGCTGCTGAGTGAGGTTCTAAGTGAGGTCCTGACTTCTCTGCTCCCTTACTTTAACCCAGCCAGTCAGCCGCAGTGCTCTCACTCTGGTTACTGATTAACCAAAGCAGCATTGAGTCAGGGGCTCTGCTACCATGACTCACAGCCCGCTTTGTACTGATGTGCTAGTGCTATAGATAAATAGGTCTGAAAGAGACCACCCAATGTTCCTCTACATGTTGACTTTAGGAGGATAATGCAAGCGCATCCCAGAGGGGGTGAAAGGAGAGCAAAACTTCCACAGGGGAAAAGTGGGAAGCAGAGGGACAGCCAGGCTTGTTTGTGTTTGAGAGTGACTCACTAAAATGTCACCATATTGTGGAGATGTTTATTTGTGAAAAGGGAATAGTGCTCTTGATTAATTACGCAGGTTCTTTGAAATTTTGCTCAACCAACGGGTCAAACAAGTGTCAAGTAAACAAGTCTCAAACCTCAATCACTTCAATCTATTTGATTCTAAAAATAAGAAGAAAGACAAGAGAAAGGGAAGTAAAAAATCTCTTATCTCATATTATTTTACTATTATTGTTCCTGTGGTACTCATGTTATCCTGTTGTCATATATATATTAACTTGTTTACTTTCTCTGTCAGATATGATCCATATTAATAATTATTCATCAACTTAATTAGTCGCTTCAAAAGCAAGAACTAATAACATATTTGATGAATTCAAGTGTATAGAATAAACTTACACTGTGTCTCTTATCTTATCTCCACCTATCTTTTACGTCACTATCTAACTAAAGGACTTACAACTGGACTTAGAAGGATAACAAACCCAGTATGTCCTAATAAAAGAGCAAACACCTTTCAAATGTTCTTTATAGGCAGGCAAACCAGTTTATTAAGCAATGTAGTTTGTATTTAAAATCAAACAGTGACATCCGTGTACATATTGAGGAAAATCCTTTACACACACCTGATTCAACAGGGCAGGGAGCACTAGATTTTCTCACCAGAAAGAGAAACATTGTATTACGTTAGGGGTTTTACAGTCAGGGTTTTATGTTTTTTAAACATTGTTAATCACAGGAAGTTAAGAGTCTATAAAGCAAAAAACAAAAATCATTTTATGTACCACTGGCAGTCTTTCTGGTCTCTTATCAACTTATTGTGATTTTGGTTTTAGTTTTTTAATGGATGCTTTTTGTATACATTTTAAAGAGCAGCTGTATACCCTTCAACCCCTAACTGGGCTGGATTAATATGTAACAATCCAACCTATCATACATTTACAATTTACTACAGTTTTTAATTTGCCAATATATGCCAAGGCAAAGACTTAAAAGATCTTGACTTTCAGTAAATAGGAGACTAAAGACAGCCTAGCAGGTCTAATGTTTACCATGTTTACAATCTTAGTTTAGCAAGTTAGCATGCTAACAATTATTTATTTTTTTTATTTATTTATTTATTTATTGGTTTATTTTAACAGGGACAGTGTACATTAATTAAACATTCCTGTAAATGAGTTAGCCAGAAGTCTATTTTCCATCTGTTGTCCCCGGGCAGATGTTCTAAGTCAACCTAAAAGTAAACTACAATACATGTACAATGTTAAAATAAAATAAATATAAGCACTAAATACTTACTAAGTATATACTAAGTAATTAACAACTTTTTTTGAACTGATGATGGTGTTAGAGGAAAAATTGGGAGATCACTAAGTTACAATTTGGGGGACATGAATGTCTCTAATAAACTGAAAAATACAACGTAATTTGCCAATAAATGTGGAGACCTGACAAAACAATTTCTTTTTACAATATGTGAATCATCAGCTGAAGTTTTTTTCATAATAGATCAATTAATCTAATCTCAGTGGCATGTGTGCATATTTACAGTACAATTATAAGCTATTGTATGCTGGGGTTTTATATGAGATTTTTCAGGCTTAAACATACTTGGAACTGCCTCAGCATTAATACGTTTTTTTCCACATTACATCTTCTTTCTTTTAAAAACTGTACAGCTATTTTCATTTTTCATTTAAAACATATATTTAATATATTTTTATTCAAATTTCTATTTTTTATTTATGATTCTTGACTTTTATTTTCTCACTATGTTTTTATGCACCGAATTACCATGGGAAATTCCTTGTATGTGAAAATCCACTTGGCAACAGACCTCTGTACAAATGTTTGATGTTCATACTAATCTACTGTAAAAGGATGCAATTGTTGCAGCAGGATCTGTGTAATGACAATAGTTTGTCACAGTTATACAGTAGAAGAGGTTACACATCATCATCATTATAGTGGATATTTTATTATCTGTTCCCAAAAACACACTTGATGTTCTGTTCAGATGTCTTAAGTAAAGACCTTAAAACACATCCTGAAGCTAGAGGTGAACAATCTTTGCGTACACTTTATAATAGTTGAACAACTGTGTGTTTCTCATGCACATTGATTACTGAGTAATCTATCACTATCACTATCAGCAGCATCAGAAACTTTATGGGTGCTACATCACAACTGTTAATTTGGCTGCTGCTATATAAGCTCCCATGCTGAGCATCTGAAGCAGGTTGGAAGGTGAACGAATCCACCATGTGGACTCTCTTGTTTCTTTGCAGCGTGATCACCTCTTATGGAGTTCAAGGTATTGTCCACTATTACTAAAACCAGTCCTGCATTTGTATTTTTAAGGTAGTAATGGGCAACATTCAATTTCAGAATTGGTTGGAAAGATTCATGTCATTTATTTGTTTTTGTTATACTCCATAAGGTGCTGGTCGCTTCTACACAACTGAGGAAATGAATCCAGTAACCACAGGACCTACTGGTACGAAAACTGCAACTAATATATCATACGTCAAACATGTTGTTACTCTGTCTCTATCTGAATGGCTTGATTGATGAGTTGTTGCTTTCAGAAGGTTTTAGCCAACAGTTACAGCTAAATAGGAACAATTTACTATGTGTATTAAAACTCTGATTATCACATGCCTTTGGTCTGAGTTACAGAATGTGTTAATACTTGACCTGTGTTACATCTCTGTGTCTTTCTGTTTGTTTCTAGAGGTACCGGTGTCTCCTGTCCCAGGTAAAATAAGCGCCACCAAAATAAGAAGCATAATGACCGATCATGGCTACTTTATTCGAATTCTGTGTCACACACACATTTTATTATTTATTTAATATTTTATTATATAACTTGTATGATTGCATTTCTTTCATTTGTCATTCTTCTATTCTTTATGACTATTTTCTTTTTGATTTTCATGATCCTGTGTACCTTCAGGTGCGAGCTGTGGTGGCTACCTGCATAGCAGCTATGGCACTTTTTACAGCCCCCGCTATCCAAACAACTACCCACCAAATGCAGACTGTTATTGGTACATTAGACCAGGAAGCAGAATTGTGCAGCTGGATTTCTCTTTTGTAGAGTAAGCATATGCACTAGACCTCTGTGATCACGCATGTGATGTTGCTGTAGTGTTTATCTCTAACTTTAAATTAAAACCTCTGTTCTTCTTTCACAGCATTGAGAATTCCCATAGCTGTGTTTATGATGCCATTTACATCTATGATGGTTCCAGTACCGGTAGCAGACTTCTGGGAAAGATATGTGGCAATAACAATGCCACCTTCTACTCCACCGGTTCTTATTTGACTGTGCGCTTCAGGAGTGATGGTTCTTCTTCTTTTTCAGGATTTCGTGCTGACTACCAAGTTGTGGGTAAGTCACAATGATTATGATGAAGATGTTTCTGTATTTTACACAATATGCAGTATCGCCATTTTAATGACATCTGGATTTCTACAGCCTTAAAATACAAAAAAGTCTCTTTACAACCATGTAGAGATTAACCTAGACTATGTGATGTATGAGTGATGGAAATTATTTTGTCCGAACTTTCTGCAACTGGAGGTTCCTGCAGATACAACTGTGGCCTCCAGGTTGGAAGCTGCTCTTGCTCTTCATCCTGTCAGTACAGAGGGAACTGTTGTCCAGACTACAGAGGTAAGCAGTGGTGGAAAGTAACAAAGAACATTTATTCAAGTACTGTCTTCCATTTTATATATTTTTATAGGTATACACTCCATAATATTTCCATGAGAAATATTGCACTTTTTATTTGACAGCTATAGTTACTTTAATATGTCAAATAAAACAACATACGCCTTTAAAATACAATGCATTACTGAAGATTAAATGAGTAGTTCCCAACTTTTTTGGCTCACAAAAACAGCTATCTGGTTAGTGCCTCCCATCTAGATGTTGAGTTGTTGTTGATTCAAATAACTGTTTTTACAAAGAATAACTTAAAATATGAATGTGTTTACAGCAGAATTGTCTATTTTATCTCACAACCCCAGAGATTTCTATTGTGACCCTCTGGAGGGGGCCCAGAACGTAGGTTGGGAAGCACCAGACTAAATTACATAACTGTAAATTAAGAAAGTAATAATACTGATACCTCTTTGTGAACAACATAAACAAACAAGACAATCAACAAGAAGAATGGTTATTTCTTTGTAGTCACTTTGCATTCATGTTTTGTCAAAATAATCAGAATTCCCAATTCAGGTTCTTGACTGTTAGTTCCTGTCCAAGTAGAGTAACCAATAGGTTATTTGTTAGCATTAACCATGACAACAAGGTAACAGTAATATTTTAGTGGTATATATAGTCCAGCAACAGTATTATTATTATTATTATTATTATTAATTACAACTTAAATGTCCAGTGTGTAACATTTAGGAGGATCTATTGGTAGAAGTGGAATATAATATATTAGGTATGTTTTCATTAGTGTATAATCACCTGAAAATATGAATTGTTGCTTTCGTTATGGTAGAATGAGCTGTTTTAACTACAGAGAAAGTGGGTTCTCGTCTATGGAGTCCGCCATGTTGCACACTATGTTTCTACAATCCAGTCCAGAACAGACAAACCAAACACTGGCTGTAGATAGGGCCTTTTCATGTTTTTTTTTGCTGGTTTTGCAGTCACTTTAGTTTCTCCTACATGCTTATTCTTTATTCTTTCCCCTTGAAATCTGACAAAGAGGCAGTTGAAATACCACTGCTTTTGTCCACAGGGGCCGTCATAATCAACACAAAGTTAATATTCCTTGTAGCTGCTTTAAGTAGGATTATAAATGCAGAACTTTGCTGGATTTTTATAACCGAGTATTTTTACATTATTGTATTGGTACTTTTACTTCAATAAAATATCTGAATACTTCTTTCACCACAGGTTTATCAGCCTCACGATTATTAAACCCTCGTGTTTACAAGATAAGGTTAAGGGAAGTTGTAAAATTCAGGTTATTCTTGTCTTTCTTTCAGATGAATGCCTAAACCCGACAATGACACCAGGACCAACAGTAACCTCAGGTATTCAAATACCTGCACGACTAAATATTTTAAAGGCAATAGCTCCATCAAATTCATTTATCCAGACAAAGAACTGTAAATAATTGGATAAAACTCTATCTTCCTGCGTCTCTCAGCTCAGCCCTCATGTCGTTACAACTGCGGCAGTTACATGGGAAGCTGCTCCTGCACAAGCTCTTGTCAATACTATGGCAACTGTTGCTATGACTACAGCTGTAAGTGCCAAGTCTAACAAATCAACAGCATTAACAGGTTCTGCATCCCTCTCTTGCTGAGGGAGTCAGTCTGTCAAATTCCTCAGTGCTTATACGGTCATGGTGTGATAATATTCTCTTGTTCACAGTTACAGAATAAACAGCAGATGCATCATAATGTTTGTTTTACACAGTAAGGAGGTGTAGGAGATTGCAATCACTTTATTCTCTTTTCTCTGTAGCGTACTGCCAGTCAACCACTGTTGAACCCATCACAGGTATGAAAACCTCTCAACAACCTATTTGGGAAAGAATAACACATATCATCAATTATTGAAATGTTTTAATACTCTTGCCTATCTCTCAGCCCGGCCCTCATGTCGATACAACTGCGGCAGTTACATGGGAAGCTGCTCCTGCTCAAGTTCTTGTCAATACTATGGAAGCTGTTGTTATGACTACTCCTGTAAGTATCAAAGTTCAGCAGAGAAACCACCCCAGTATGGTCACAATTTTGACCAAAAAGCAGTTTGCTTCACATTAATAGCGAACGCAATAACTGTAGGAAGTTTGTGTATAATAAGAGATGTGGATACATTTTGAGCACATCATTTCCTGTGAATTATGCATCAGAGATGAGTTTTCCTGATATTTTTTAGGAACTTTGAATGCACAATTCTCTGTTAAAGATTCAGACAATCATGCATACTTAAAAGGCTCAGCAGTCAGGAGTCAGCCTGATTCTTAGCCATTGTTCTATTAGCTCTTTGGTTGTTTTAACTGTGACTTTTTCAGGACAAGGCCCTTATCCTGGGAGATTATTATTAAGTTATTATTATTATATTATTAAGTTTATATCCTGAATAATCATCTAAACTTTAGAAAAACAATTTTGTTTAGTTTTCTTCACAGAAATTAATTAAATACTGAAATACAGGCCATATATATATATTTAAAGTTGTCTTACAACCCTTTAAATCAAGAAGGCCTTGCAATCCCCAGTGAAGCCTTGGTGGCCCCTGGTGGGGGTCGGGACTCCCAGGTTGGAAACCAGTGGATAACAATATGAAGGTGGCGGAATAATATTTTTACAAAAACAACAGGTGTATCATAGTATTTGTTTAACACAGTAAGAAGAGCTCATTTTATTCTCCTCTCTTCTCTTTGTCATGTAGCTTACTGCCAGTCAAGCACTGCCGCACCTATGATACCAACCTCAGGTATGAAAACCTGAGTATTTTGGAATAAACCAACATTTAGTAGAGTTAGTGATCATTTATTCAGATAGCAGATTTCTAAAATGTTTTGTATTCTCCGGTGTCACTCAGCCCAGCCCTCATGTCGATACAACTGCGGCGGTCACCTGGGAAGCTGCTCCTGCACAAGCTCTTGTCGATACTATGGAAACTGTTGTTATGACTACTACTGTAAGTATCAGTTCAGCAGAGAAACCGCAACACCCTATGGTCACAATTTTAACCAAATCATCTGCTATATTTCAATAGAAATGGACTGTGCAGTGATATGAACTTGCATCTTTTCCTCTTAATATGATGTATTTCCTGTTGAAACAGGATGTTGGAGCCGGACACACTGTAGGAGATCATTATAAACTCTAAAGGAAAGGAATATTAGTCAAGGAAGAGAAGAACTGTATGATTTGATATGATGTCATAGGGTCTTAAATGTAACTTTGGTTTCTGAGTTTTATTCTGTCCCGGAAGGTCACTTCTGTATATTCTTTTATTACGAACTCTGTCCAAAGAGAGCGAGTTATGAAAAGTTATAGAAATGGTTGGACACAGCCCTGGCAAATCCTGACATCAGAAAGGTCGTTTCTGAAGCTATTTGACTTTCCAACAAGCAGTTCTGATGGAGCATAATGGCACGTTAACCTCCCTGCCAATATAGCCACAACTACCCTAAAAAAGTCCAACAATTTCCTTCAACTCAACAACAATGAAACAGAGATTGTCATATTGGTGCTAAACGTCTTAGGAGCAGGAAACGTGTCCTCATTTAGCCTGTCTGTGTTGAGAAAGTACCACAAAGGCCAAAAACCTGTAGTTGCTGATGCTGACTATACCCTCCACTACTTAAAACAACTGCTGGCCGACTGAATAGCATTATGGACATGGTGGGATAAAATGTTTTGTTCGTAGTTTCAGAATAAATAGTAGGTGTGTCTGAATATGTCTTGTCGGAAGGGATGATAAAAGATAGTAATCACTTTATTCTCTTCTCTCTGACATGTAGCGTACTGCCCGTCAACCACTGTCAGACCCGCCACAGGTATGAAAACCTCTCAACAATCTATATGTGATAGAATAAAACACATCATCAGTTACTGAAATGTTTTAATACTCTTGTCTATCTCTCAGCCCAGCCCTCATGTCGATACAACTGCGGCAGTCACCTGGGAATCTGCTCCTGCACAAGCTCTTGTCGATATTATGGAAACTGTTGTTATGACTACTCCTGTAAGTATCAAAGTTCAGCAGAGAAACCACCACACTATGGTCACAATTTTAACCAAATCTTCTGCTATATTTCAATAGAAATGGACTGTGCAGTGATATGAAATTGCATCTTTTCCTCTTAATATGATGTATTTCCTGTTGAAACAGGATGTTGGGGCCGGACACACTGTAGGAGATCATTATAAACTCTAAACCAAAGGAATATTAGTCAAGGAAGAGAAGAACTGTATGATTTGATATGAAGGACAGACTTGCTGACTTTCTTAAAAAAAAATGCAGTGACTTTTAGTAACATTTACAGTGTCCATGTCATAGGGTCTTAAATGTAACTTTGGTTTCTGAGTTTTATTCTGTCCCGGAAGGTCACTTCTGTATATTCTTTTATTACAAACTCTGTCCAAAGAGAGCGAGTTATGAAAAATTATAGAAATGGTTGAACACAGCCCTGGCAAATCCTGACATCAGAAAGGTCGTTTCTGAAGCTATTTGACTTTCCAACAAGCAGTTCTGATGGAGCATAATGGCACGTTAACCTCCCTGCCAATATAGCCACAACTACCCTAAAAAAGTCCAACAATTTCCTTCAACTCAACAACAATGAAACAGAGATTGTCATATTGGTGCTAAACGTCTTAGGAGCAGGAAACGTGTCCTCATTTAGCCTGTCTGTGTTGAGAAAGTACCACAAAGGCCAAAAACCTGTAGTTGCTGATGCTGACCATACTATCCACTACTCTACTACTATATGGACATGGTGGGATAATATTCTTTGTTCACAGTTTCAGAAAGAATAGCAGGTGTGTCTGAATATGTCTTGTAAGAAGAGAAAGGTAAAAGATAGTAATCACTTTATTCTCTCTGACATGTAGCGTACTGCCAGTCAACCACTGTCAGACCCGCCACAGGTATGAAAACCTCTCAACAATCTATATGTGATAGAATAAAACACATCATCAGTTACTGAAATGTTTTAATACTCTTGCCTATCTCTCAGCCCGGCCCTCATGTCGATACAACTGCGGCAGTTACCTGGGAAGCTGCTCCTGCACAAGCTCTTGTCGATACTATGGAAACTGTTGTTATGACTACTCCTGTAAGTATCAAGACTCAGAAGAGAAACCGCCACACAGTATGGCCACAATTTTAACAAAATCATATTACGTCACACTGAAATGCTCTACTCCAATATTACAGATATAGAGAAATTGACTGTACAGTGATATAAGCTGGCATCTTTTCCTCTTAATATGATGTATTTCCTGTAGAAACAGGATGTTGGAGCGAACACCTTAAGAGCAGGAAAAATTTCCTGATTTAAGAGGCTTCATATCACAGCCAGAAAAGAATACTTTTTAGTCAGACTATGGCATTGTCCTCCTCACTGGTGTGCTCAAAACAACTGCTGGCAGACTGAATAACAATATGGAGGTGGCAGGATAATATTTTTTGTTCACCATTGTAGAATAAACAACAGGTGTATCATAGTATTTGTTTAACACAGTAAGAAGAGGTAATTTTATTCTCCTCTCTTCTCTTTGTCGTGTAGCTTACTGCCAATCAAGCACTGCCGAACCTATGACACCAACCTCAGGTATAAAAACCTCTCAACAACCTAGAGTATATTGGAATTAATTAGTAGAGTTAGTGATCATTTATTCTGATAGCAGGAAAGGTAACAGACATTTTTTATATCCTCCTGCGTCACTCAGCTCAGCCCTCGTGTCGATACAACTGCGGCAGTTACCTGGGAAGCTGCTCCTGCTCAAGCTCTTGCCAATCCTATGGAAACTGTTGTAACGACTACTACTGTAAGTATTGTGTCATTCAAAGCTCCTTTTTGTCACCTTTGATTGCAGTTTCCACTAAAAAGTAGGACTTAAACCCATGGGTTTGTTTTTTCCAACAGCCTACTGCAGAGTCACACCTACAGGTAAGATCCTCCGTGTGCAAAATGAGCCTTACTGCAAATACAGTTCACTGCATTGACACTTGTGTTTTCTTGTCCACCTTCAGCAATCCCCTGTGGAGGCTCTCTGTTTGGCTCTGGCACCTTCTCCAGCCCGAACTACCCCAACTACTACCATGACAGTGCCTACTGTACCTGGCAGCTACGAGCTGCGTATGACCAAAGAATCTTCCTGGCATTCACGTACATGCAGTGAGTGAAGAATAGTCCGCTTTTTGGTGATGATGAGTTTAAATGAGCAGCATTACTATGTGAATAAATCTAAACTGATAGCCATGGCGGAAACTAGAACAGTTTTGAAATTTTGCTTTAATAAGTCAGTAATTTATAGGTTTTTTTTATCATCTTTTTAAAAAACAGATTGGAGAACTGCTGCAATTGTGACTACATTGCAGTCTATGATGGGCCATCTGTTAGCTCACGATACCTGGGGAAAGTATGCAACTCAAGTCTGAGTACTTTCTACTCCTCATCCAACTACATGACTGTGCTCTTCCGGACTGATGGTTCTGTGGTTGGCAGAGGGTTCAATGCTGAGTTCATAAGCTCTCTGCCACCAAGCTCAGGTACAATTATGATATATTGAATAGTGGTTATGGTTTTGAAAATGTTTGTTCTACTGTGGCTTGTGATGAGAGGGCCTAATACAAACATGGTATTGCTTGCATTGTGGGTAATGTAGGATCCAGCATTTTGGAGCTTTACTTGCATGCTAGGGACTAAAAGTCAGGATATTTTAGCCTCTCCTGCTTCCATTTTGGACATTCTCTATTTAAATCTTGTCTCTTTTGATTCTTTAACTCAGCTTAAGTCCAAAACAATCACTGTCCCTTTAATCCCCTTTCTAACTGTACAGCATAAAATCAGCCAAAATACTGTAAATTAGCATATCTGCATATCCTTCTCTGTCAGGTGGTCAACCAATCCCGGCTAAAATTCAGCTAGACCAAAAGTCTATAATCACACTAGTGACTCTGTGAGATTGTGTTTAGGCTTAATGGTGCTTTGCCCTAAGCGCGAACATCTGCTCAAAGGGTACACATTGTTTAAAGAAGCTACACGTAGGGGTAGCATATCAGATAACAGGAGGAGGGATTCAGGCTCTGGGCAGGGGAGACCCAGTGGGGAATACTGGTGGGGTGCGGACAAATTAAAAACCCGAGCTAATGATGGCACTATATGGAAAAGTGAAACATCACCAAAGTTAATACAATTCATCCTAATGGGGAGATGAATGTCTGCACTAAATTGCATTGCAATCAATTGCATCCAACAGTCACTGTTTCATTCAAAATCACAAATGTCAACCTTGTAGCTACGGGAGAAGTCAGGGTCACTAAAATCAGTAGGTTTCCTCCTCTGGGGACCATGAATGTCTGTACAGAATTTAAAAATGTCCTGTTCACATGGTCCTTTGTCAGGTCGAGTGGACTGTTCCTCAGACAACATGAACATTGTGGTTGAGAGGACGTACCTGAACTCACTCGGCTATGACGGCCACAGTCTGTACTTGAATGACCCGCACTGCAGACCCCAGGTTTCCAGATATCAGGTGGTCTTCAGTTTCCCCATTAACACTTGTGGCAACATTCGAAAGGTAAACAACCCATCACTTTCTGGAAAAACATGAACAATATACAGAACTTCCTAATGACGCTCCCACAAATTATGGGACATGTCAGTGGAACCTTGAGTGTGACTAGTTTTCAATATCATCTACCTTGAACAGTTTGAGAATGGCAGAGTTGTGTACACCAACACTCTCCGTGCCTACGCCTCCAGCTATGGAGAGATCACACGCCAGTCTCACTTTAAGCTGAACGTGGGCTGTCGAATGGAGCAGGACTCAGTGGCCCAGATCATGTACCTTGTCCATCATCGTGGCAACAGCAGCATTACAGGCACAGGCAGGTTCAACACCAGCATGGATTTCTACACATCCAGCAGCTTCTACTATAAGGTCTGTTCGGGTAGAAAGTGATGAACAGAAAATTTCTTATATAAATACTTCCACACCATGCTGACATTTTGCTTTTACCCTCTCAGGTGACTCAAGTTCCATACGAGGTGGCACTCAACCAGAACTTGTATGTCCAAGTGGAGTTGAGGAGGGGTGACAGCACCCTGGTCCTTTTTCTGGACACCTGTGTGGCCTCACCATCACCCCATGATTTTCAGAGCAGATCTTACTACCTGGTCCGTAACGGGTAAGATGAGAGCACAAGCTGTGTAGATTAAGTATCTAATGAGCATTGGCTTTCCGTTCCTGTTTTCTCGTGTGATTAATGCTGAAACATCTAGGGAATAGTACTAAGTAGATTTACTGAAAATCTGTTCTTAAGTAGGTATTGGTACCTGGAGTAGATTAAAGTAAACATAAAAAAAACAAAAAATGCTTGGTGAATACAGACCCGTGGTCTTCTGTTGTACTGTCCAGTAACACTGTGTCTGTTTCACGTTTAGATGTCCTGTAGACAACACCTACCAGGCCTACGTAACTGGCACACGTGCGTATGCCCGTTTCACATTTAAAGGCTTCCAGTTCCTGCGAGCCACAGAGTCTGTTTACATCCAGTGCAAGGTCCAGATATGCCCAGCCTCCGACAACAATTCCCGCTGCCGCAGAGGCTGCAGCAAACGTGCAGCCAGAGACGTGGGGTCAGAACACGACAGTCAAACTCTGGTCCTGGGTCCCATCCAACTCAAAGGTCTGTAGCCATCTGTACCTGGTTTTGATACCAATAGTGGATAAACTGAAGCATTATAGTAGGTTAGCAGTAAGGTCACTTATGTCCTCAAGGAAACAGTACAATAAAAGACATTTCACTATTTCTCTTCACCAGAGCCTGAGAAAAAGGAAGAGGAGACACATGAGCAGGACAAGGCTTAACTTGATACTGCAATGAGCTGCTTCAGTCATCTTTAACGATCATTATAGAACTCAACATTCTGTCCATTGTGACACTGAATTTTAATCACCAGTAACCCTTTCTTTTCTCTTTATTGCATTACCTGAATAAAAGCATCACCAAAAGACAATCTGTGTTTGTGTATTTCATTGTCATACTAACCTTAAATGTGCATACCATAATAAAATCATCACTGCTATTCATTTCTGTTCTTGGGAAAATAGCAATTCCACATTTTATATATATATTAAGCTCCTTACCCATCCCTTCAGAAGACCTTTATTAAAGGGAATAAAATGAATTTTAAAAAAAGTATACATTTTACATAGTCAAAGACAAACTTGTAAAATATATACATATAACATATACTTTTTAAAAAATGGGACTCAACACAATAATTCCATGGAAAGATGTACTTAATATTATCTGTAATTCAGCCTTAGATGTATGTATATATGTAATACAAATACATATAATATTTTATCTAGAACATTTTTACCAACTAAAAAAAGGATTGATCAAAAAACTATTTGGGGCTTAGAGCAATCTAGCTTGTGCGGGTTTTGCAATGATGACGAGGAATCAATCTTGCATCCGATGAGGTATTGTCCTGTTGTTGCTCTATTTTGGGTTCAAGTCCAAAAAAGGATATTAAACTTAATGAAAATACACTATTAATCTACAAACTGTAATTTTAGGAGATTTATGTCATAGATAATCAGTAGTATTGTAATCCTGTTTGGAAAAGCATTCGTAATAAAGCTGAAAGTACACACAAAGCTTAAAATACCGATTTCATCTAAAAAGCCCACTAGATGATAGAAAGGTCAACATCGAAAAAAGGAAACTGCAGACCTTGAAATTGCTAAAAGAATGGGAAAAACTAAACCTCAGGGAAGCATGGAAATTTGAGCCATTTGATTGTGTTTGATTATGTATGCATGAGTTAAGGTACAGCCTCAGATATCATAATATAATCAATAGGCTGTACTGTGGAGGTCTGTGGGGTGGGCGGACAGCAGGCTGGCCTATGGGGTTCCTGCACTTCCTCCAACTCTCGGTGCTGGTTCTGTGCCCAGTGGACCAGCTTTGGCCCAGTAGAAGACCCATTACACAAATTATGATCTATTTATCGCACTCATAACTATTGACATTATTATTTATCCATTTTAGCATAACAATTATTATTAATCTCTTTCTTCTCCTTTGTTGCTGTTTTGGCCAGTTCACCTAACTCTGTACATACTTTGATTTACACTACTATGTTTATGTGTGTGTGTGTGTGTGTGTGTGTGTGTGTGTGTGTGTGTGTGTGTGTGTGTGTGTGTGTATGTGTGTTTCTCTCTCCCTCTAATTGTCTGGGTAGGTGTTGTAGGTATTGTTAAGTGTAGGAGGGTGTTTGGATTTGTTGGGTTATCTGTTTTGGGTGTTTGGTGTTGTTTGGATATTTGGTGGACTGATGACCTTTTGGTTGTGATGTTGATCTCGTGGTAGGTCGGTGAATGGTTCGGCTGTGATGTGTGGACCCCAGGAGTATTTCTATTCTTATGTATAGCATGGTGTGTAATATGTTGTATGTATTCAAATTAAAAAGAAAGAAGAAAAAAATGAAGACAAAGCACAGCTCAGTTAGAAAACACTTTACTTATAAATTAGTTAGATTAATTCATGTCACAATAAAATGATTTGCCATCCCAGAGGGAGAGAGTGATCGCCGGAAGGCTTCAACATTCACCATTACCTAGGAACCTACGACACACTGAGAACATAAGGCAGTCATTACTGGATGCCCCTATTACTGGTTAGCATGGTGACAAGGAGGTGGTCCTATAAACAGTAACTATGTTCTTCACGCATGTTGCTAAGCAACAGACAACAGTACCCAAGACAAAGAACAATCTTGATAAAGTAGCAGTCTTACTGCAACATGGTTTTGCTTTTTTGACACTGAACATCTATCCAACCACTCAGAATACAATACTCAGTAAATATTCAGAAAAGCACTGGGATCCATATGATAAATGCAGAATCTCAGTGTTTGTTATCACAAAGGCTCAAACGTGGCATCCCCAGTGCGACGTGGCAATTCTGAAAAACTGTTCACATGAGACACAAGACTTGATTCTGTCCTAAACATGGAGACACTGGATATCAAAGTGACTTCATACAATATCAAAAGATCAGAATGTGACACAATTAAAAGGATTATGCAAAACCCTTTTAACAAAACGAGTGAAGTTACCATGATGCTGGTCAAAGAAGGGCACTGTGTGGAGGGACGTCAGAACAACACGACTTCTACAAAATCTAGTTTAACAACTGAGCTGGCTGACCAAAAACCACTGATACAAAGTTTGGCCAGGTTTTACAGTGGATACCATCCATATAGTTTTGATCCCAAAGTTTCTTAGCAGCATTCATGGAGCAGAATTTTGGCAAAATAAAAATCATGGCTACCATTGAAAACTACAATGGCCAAACTTTTTTTTTTTTCTAAGGTTCTGGGCCTACCCATTACAGTAAGAAGAGGATATTGTAATAATATCCATTAATCTTCAAAATAACAGTCCTCTCTATCTTGGACACACAAGAAAGTGACTATGTCAGGCACTGCAAAGAAATAGTAGTAATGCACCAAGCACTGAAATAATTTCAACAAGGCTTAAGTAAGAGTTTTCTCTAGGCCAACAGTTTCACTCCTGTGTTAGTATCACCAGAGCAATCATTTGATAAAGCTCCAGGAGTGTTGAGAATTTATTTGGGCTGCCCACTCAGTTACCCTAGAAAAGGCTTTTCTTTTTTCTTTTTGTTTGCATGTTGTATTATTATAAAAAGAGACATGCTGTTGAGAGTAAGCCCTTCCCCCCTTAACTGTGATGGCAGGCACAGGTGAGCTACAGTCATATATGTTTTTTCTGTTTACATTTGGTAACTGCAATCGTATAGTATGTATTCTGCCCTCAGCAGCAGTGTTATCGCTTTATTTATTAATACGTTGGTTTTAGTTTTCTGATGATTTCCTTCCACTGGCCACTGGTTTTTATTCATCCTCAGTCTGATTTGTGGCCATTTAAAATGCATACAATTTTACCCATCTACATTTGCTTTAGATAGGAACAGTGAAAGTTTTAAATTTTAGTTAGTGCTGCATGGTATTGCATTTGAAAGTTTGCCAGTCAGTTACATTTGTGTTTCTAGGGGAAAACTCCAACATCAGCCTCCAACAACAGCCTTATGTTTTTGAGCTCTGCTTATTAAAAACCAAACCCAAATAACAAACAAATTTCAAGGAAGATTGTGAATTTGGTAATCTACGACATTAAATAAGGTTAAGTAAGTAGTTTTTCTGATTTATGACAGCATGTGAGTGTAACTCCCCCACCACAAATAAATTCTCAACCTGTTGAAAACACTGATCATCCCTTTATAATACACTTGAATGGGCACCATACAAACCATCTGAATGTTGACATTTTCCTGTATAAGTACAACTTTCAAAGGCTAGGCTACATCAAGGCCAAGTAAAAGACCAATAAATAAAATTACTATAGAATTAATAAAACAAAGTTGTCCGTTAAAAGTTCTTTCAAAGATTTCCTTATCCGTCCGTTACTTGTGCTGCCCGCGGGCAAAGTGGCAGGCAAAGTCATACTTGCTCTTGCACTTGTGGCCGCAGATGTTGCACTGGAATGGGTTCTCGTAACCATGGCAACCCATGTGGATGGTGTAAAGGATGTTGTCGGGGAAGTAGATGTCACAGTGCTGGCAGTGATGCAGCATGTGGGGGTCCTGGAGTGGAGCGGAAAGGCCTGGAGCCGGCGTACTGGGTTGGCTGTTGGAGATACTAGGGGTGCTGGTGCGTCCACTGTGCTCGCTGCAGGGCCCCCCTCCAGGGCTGCAATTGCTGTGAGGAGGAGCCCGCGGCTCTGGGGTGATTGGGGAAGAGGATGAGGCATGGACCATGCTGGCCACGGGAGCTGTGGCAGGGTGCGGCTGCTGGATGAGGAAGGGCTTCTCGTCGACGATAGACTCTGCTCCTGGAGACATGGGTGGTTGAGTCTGGGCCTGGGACTCTGAAGGGAGGCTGGCCAACTGGCCTGCCAGGGTGGACAGCTGGTTCAGGGGGTTATCCATAACCATATCATGGTGATGGTGATTTTGATTTGCGGAGTGTCCATCCTCAACTGCTCGACTCTGATTATCATAGGTCTCCTGACGTAAATGGGGCAACTCGTGGGAGAAGTCGTTCACATTGTCAGCCTTGTGCACCACCATAGAAGGGGGGCTGAAGTTGATGAGGAGTCGGCGGCCGTAGCCCAATGAGCTGGCCTTCTTCTGTAAAACACTCAGCATCTTCTTATGGGAGAGTGAGCGAGCACCTTTCATTGGCAGGAGCTTGTGGCGTCGGCGGCGATGGTGCGACAAGTTGCTACGATCACTGCAGCGGAATGAACACAGCTCACACTTATAAGGCTTCTCACCTGTGTGCGACCGCATGTGGGCCTCCAGGTGGCGCTCGTAGGCTGAGGCAAACGGGCAGAGGTGGCAGCGGTGAGGTTTCTCTCCTGTTTAATTGAGGAAAAACAGGCTAAGTAACAAAACCATGTCACTGTCATCCACTTTAAAATGAGCTATTGACACGTACCTGTGTGAATTCGGATGTGCTCAATGAGTCTTGCTGTGCCTCTGGTGGCATAGTTGCAGTAGCGGCACTTGAGCTTCCCGTCATAGGTCCTCTCGAAACCATCTACCAGGATCCCTGAGCTGTCCTCCAGTGACATGTCCACTGACGGGTGATCCAGTCCATTCTGACTGCAGTCTGCATACAAGGACGAGCACATCAAAACTCAGATTATACTTTACTATCTAAGAAAACAAATGATTCATTCAATATATTATTTTCATGAACACTGTAGCGAATTTCACTTCAGTAATATTTGTGTTGAGCTGCATACAATAGCATTTGTGGCAGACTGATTGAAGGATGGTGAAGAAAGGATAAGGATGATCACTTGAGCAGTTACTCTCTATGATAACATTCATGGAAATGATAATTGTGTTAGGAACCTGAAGTCAGATCAAATTAAAAAGGTGACTCTTTCAGCTGTTTGCCTAAAAATACACTGAGTCCAATGGCACCAAACCCAGCCGCAGAAGGGTTTCACGTCAACAAATGACACATAACTAGTTTACCTGGTGGCAGCTCGTCAGCCTCCTTGACGCCGCTGACAGAGCCTGATATCATGTTGACATGTTGAGTCTGCTGACTCAGATACTCCTGGAAATCCTTCACAAAGTCAAGCGTGTCCGGCTTTTCTTCCCCCATTGAAAGAAAGTGATGCAAACGTCCAACCGACCACAATTACTGAAGAGCAAAGAGGAATCGGCGTGAGGTCCGGAAATGAACAAACACAACAACACAAAAACATAATGCAACCACTCACATCCGAAACAACTCAAAGTAGCACTGCCGCCAATGTTAGCTAGCACATCTAACTTACCTCCTCGAAGATAACTTGTTGGTTTAATGTAACCAGTTTTGTTTGTTTGTTTGTTTGTTTGTTTGGTCGGTTTTAAAGCCGTGTTGTGGCTATCCAGACACAAAGACAATATAATCCCGGAGATCTGTGATTGACAAGCAGGAAATCGGCGCGATCCGATGTCTGGTCGGTCGCTCCTACACACCGCTCCTCCTCATCCTCATCCTCATCCTCATCATCATCATCATCGTCATGTTGTTGCCAAAGCTACGTACGCTAAGTTACGATAGCCAGACAGCTAACGTTAGCTTATCTTGGAGAAAACATCTTTGTCAACAGAAACGCCAATAACTGTTCGACACTGGTCTTTATTTACATCCTCTGTACGCGTTTGACTAAGTCCTCTACAGCACTACTAGTTTTAAATCCGTCTTTCAGTGGAGACACTTGAAAAGACAACCTGCTAAATCAAAACAATAAAAAACCCAGTGTAAGGGGTGAAAGTTCACTGCGTGTGCGCCGGTGAAATCCGTCCCGCCACCAGCTCAACGTACCCGCCAAGAAAGGTTCCCAACCTGTAAGGCTGTAACTTTGGCTAAAATATAGCTACACGGTTGCCCGCGTGGTATAAAATCAATAAAAACATTAAAAGTGGACATTTTTAAAGTATAACATGACTCGACAACACGCCTCTTTGCCAGCGTGCCACAGAGAATCCGGTAAGATACAGTTTATATCAGTATCATGTAACGCTATTATTTACACATACATAAAGCAAACTTTATCCAGCTAGCTAGAAACTACCTTTGACAGAGGAGATTATTTTAATGGGCCTGAAGGTGATGTGCCAGTGTTTTACTGGCTTTAATGGCTTTATGATAAAATATAGAACTGTTATTGTACTATATATTCTATATTCTATATTTCAAAACATGTTATATATTATGTTTTTACACATTAACACAATTGAATGTATTCCTACTAAATGTTTCCACACATTCAGATATGGTGATGCACAGCTACAATGCTTTGGTCCCTATATTCAATTCATTTCAATTCAATTTTATTTGTATAGCGCCAATTCATAACAGAAGTTATCTCAGGACACTTTTCAAATAGAGCAGGTCTAGACCGAACTCTTTAACATTAATTACAGAGACCCAACAGTACCACCATGAGCAAGCACTTGGCGACAAGGGCAAGGAAAAACTGCCTGTTAAAAGGCAGAAACCTAGGACAGATCCTCCGGCTCTAGGTGGGTGGTCGTCTGTCTCGACCAGTTGGGGTGAGAGAGAGAGAGAGAGAGAGAGAGAGAGAGAGAGAGAGAGAGAGCGACAGACAGACAGACAGACGCACAGCAACAACAGTATTGGCAATGGCAGTAAGCAGGACCATGGCAGGAGGCTCCACCAGGATCCACGAGAACCTGCGAGACGAGAAAGCACAAGAACTCCGGGGAAGAAGTGGAGTTAGTAACATGCATTAAAGGGACATGAATGAGTGCAGAAAGAGAGAGGAAGAGAGTAGCTCAGTGCACCATGGGAAATCCCCGATAGTCTAGGCCTATAGCAGCATAACTAAGGGATGGTTCAGGACTCACCTGATCCAGCCCTAACTATAAGCTTTATCAGAGGAATGTCTTATTGACTCCATAATATATGATATTAAGACAGCAAACATTGTCTCAAAGTATGTACAGTTTTTTATTGGCACAGCCCTTATGGTGAGTCCCTACCAGTGAGTTGGTGTTAAACATCAGCATTTAACTGTCCAAGTATAGGCTTAGACGTGAAGGAACTTGTTTTTTTAGACAGCCCCTAGAGTATTAACACCCCTCTCTTACCACCAGCTAATGAAGTCAACTGATACCATATCTACTCACATCCGTGACATGACACACTTTCATATGTACAGCTCACAATTGTGCGCAAGTGGCAAATGAGCCACAACAATTGCATTACTTTCAAAAGCTATCGACTCATTCATGTTTTATCACAATCAATAATTTACCAGTAAGCGCTCGGTGAAGATCGCATTGCCCCATTTGTGTCAAAGTTGTAGGAAAACCACTGAGGAGTAGATGATAAACGACCAAGTTGAGTGAGACTGCTGTATCCTTTTACCACATTACAACTGCAACTGTCAGAGCAGTAGCATTACAGCAGTAATGTAAACCTGCTGCCAGCTAATACTTTACTTTGTAACATGAGTCACTCATTTGGGGTTGAAAATACACCCGTGTACACCATATTCACTACCTGGACTTGTTTATGATGTGTTTGTGTGTCACATTAGAGAATTGTAACACACTATTCTAACATTTTTTGACAGTTACTTTGGTCCTGCATGTACACCTGCTGTTGCCTGTCCAAATTTGAGTACAGTTATCTGGACACTAGATGGCGCACATGTCTCAGTAATGAAAGAAGTACTTTCCATTCTGCCACACACTGTTGTGAGACTCAAGCACTCTACATGACACAAGACACAAAGCTAACACACGTAGGCTACTATTCTTTGTAAGTCCTAGTCTTACAGAAGAGGCTTGACTCATCAAGATTACACAGATCGTGGCTATCACTGCACAGACAATGAAAGCTCAGTGTACAGTCAGCTAGTGAGTCTTGTCTATGTAAGCTGCCAGTCCCCAGGGACAGCATGTACAGGACCAGTGGAAGATGTGACAGTTGCCCCCATCAGTTGAACCATGACCGCCGGAGCGGCCAATTACATCACCTTCTAACAGCCTGTCCACACTAATGTTATTTTATTGCAATTTAATTATGCTCAGGTTTCCACCGGGGCCAGATCCTGTTGAATAATTTACACACAGCCACAATGATTTGTCGGCAGGAAAAGACAAAGTGCGCACTTCTCGGTGCTCTCATTTGTTTCAGTAGTTTTGTTTTTAATTCCTACGATATAAATCATTAAAACAATAATCTTATGTTGTATTTCTAACGAAGCTTTTGCTGCAGAACTAATAGTGCCTTTGCTTTGAAGGACAGATTTATTAAGCCTAAAAATACTTAAGGAAATAATTGGTCAAACTTCATTTTGCATTAATGACATGTCCACTGCACGATATATTAAGCTGTTCTTTTAAAGGGCAGTGAGCATGTATTAATGAGACTGAGAGCAGGTAATACTCTAAAAGGGCTTACTAGGGCTGGCATTTACACCCAATAATGCTGTGGTCACTGATGGAAACTTCCTATACTTCAGTTTAAAAAAAAAAACATGTTGGTCATTGAATGCCATTAATACAATTACATAATATCTAATGTAATATAAATACAACCTGTTTATCTAAAATTTCAGTCTATTTTGATACAATTACTCATATACTTAACATTTGTAAAGGTCTGACTTGAACTCAAAACCTTTAGAATACTAATCAAAATTATACGAGCGAGTTTGAATATACACACTGCCACATGTAGAATGGGCTCTGGGACAACACCTGTCTTTGAGAAGGTTGCAGTGTTATCCACTTGCTCTGATTCACATTTAAAAGGCCTGAATGAAAAGGTTCCCTTCTCCTCTTAACCGCTTGATTTACAGGCTGTTTGTGGTTTAACGCCACACAAGACAATTGATTTGCTCCTCCTTTCCTGAAAGAAATTGGAATTTAATTTAGAGAAGGTCTTAAGCAGTTTTTAAAGACTTGGTGTCATTTGTTGGGCTTGTGTAAAAGCTGCATTAGAGATTACCCTCCTGGAAAAGCTTTTTAATCCTAGACAAGTGCAGCCATAGTAACGGTAGACGGGAGCCTCTTGGAGGCAGAAAGGTGAAGGGGGACTTTGACAAGATTTATTCTTCTCTTACTGAGACTGTTTCTTTCTTGAGGTCTCCCGCTCCATGAGGAGCATTTGAAAAAGAACTGAGAGGTGGGGGATAGGATAAAGGAGGTATATATTAAGCTTTTCTTTCCTCTCACCACTTAATTTCCTTGCAGGCGCGCCTTGCGCCGTTGTAATGAATGTAATTGCTGCCTTTGATGAGAATGCTATTATCTGGATCACACTTTACATGGGCAAACAAGACTGCCCCTCCCTCCACCTCCACCTCCCATTTAACTCAGCAATGAGACCCCCCAATTATGCAGGGAACAAGTGGCTTTTCATAAAGCCAGCGTGTCGCTCTTGATTGGTGAGGCTTGGAGCCGGCTACATGTGGACAAAGGATAGATTAGATGTGATATAGGCACACCAAAAACCCCATTTCCTTGATTAATTTCCTGCATGCCTCACAGAAAGGGCCCACTCTCTCCTCACTGAATTCTATCTCTCCTTTAAAGACAAACTTTCATCTTTTGATAGATGTGGCAACTCAATGGACAGACAGACATTTTATTGACCTAAGTTTGACCACAGCTGCCTGAGCTTCAGAAGGGAATAGGAGCAGCAAGAGAAATGTTTCACTTCAGCGTAGGAGGATGGGCTTATTTTTCTTATAAAAAGCTCAAAATCTTTGTGGCCCTTACAGTATTTTTCTGCCATCAGCCAGGATCAACCCACTTTTCATGCTGATCTTTTTGTGCTCTCATGTCATCCCCCTCAGCACACAAACGCTGGTTGTTCACTCATTCTCTTTCTTTCACACACCCACACACGGACACACAGAGGCACACTAAACAGCCATTTGATAATAGTGGCAAACAGATATGATGGGACTTTATGAGGCGATGCGCGATAAAGCTGCTGTCACCTTAGGAAGTCTAAGTGTTCTTCTGACTGCCTTATTACCGTATTAAAGCACCACTCGACAAATTCACACACACCTCAGCCTGGCTCTGACAACCCGGCGTGATTCTGTCCAATATTCCACCAGGCTGAAATATCGAGAACAATCAAATCGACTGTCACAAGTGACAAATTATACTATTACTCCTCAAAGATTGTCATCCTTGAAATGTATTCATAGCCATTTCTTCTTTTATCGGTGAGTGATTATTCCTCTAAGCAAGCAATTCCCCAGTGATAAATTGGTAATCAATTCATTTGACTATTATGCTTTGAGAATGGCTCCAAGGTATCAGCAGCATTGGTCACTCTTATTCACTTGCATATATATCCAACACTAACTCATAGTGCTGTTGGGCCTGATGGATGCTGGCTGCCCGACCACCTGACTCTTAAAGGTTTATACCATCAGAAACAGGTTGCCATCCGGACCCAGTCACGACAGAGAAAGAATTGGCCAATATTTTTGACTGAAGTGGCATTTTAGCAGTATTTATTTGATGGTCCCACTACCAAAACCATGGGCCACAAATAAAGAAGATGGTATAATAGCTTTTGACTGCCCAGCTAGCTCCTGACTTGAAATGAAGTGTCCAGTTGTGAGTTATCGTGGCCAAACGTCATTTGTACAGCCTGAAAAGTGGGGACATTTTTCTAGCTTGTCACTCTCAGGCTATAGCTCATTGTCCTGAATGATGCCTCTGAACGCACAGTTGCCCTAATACGAGTATTTCACTCGCACCGCAAGAAGGCTGGTAATGGATTAGCCTGTCCATAGGAAGATAATATAGTGC